CTCACCCTCACCCTCACCCTCACCCTCACCCTCACCCTCACCCTCACTCACTCTCACTCTCACTCTCACTCACTCTCACTCTCACTCACTCTCCCACTCTCACTCTCACTCACACTCACCCTCATTCTCACCCACACTCACCAACCCCCACCTTCACTCTCACTCACGCTCACTTACACTCACACTCACTCTCGCCCACACTCACTCTCACTCACACTCGCACTCACTCTCCCACTCTCACTCACACCCACACTCCCTCTCATCCACACTCACTTACACCCACCTTCACTTCATCACCACCATCACCTCTCTGGACCCCAATGCGTCTGGATCTCTAGACTTTCTGCTTACAGACCTCACACACACTGTTTGGGGTCTCTTGCCGGGATAATTTTTCCCTATATTCAGTTTGAATATGGTTTTGAAAAGAGCAGGGGGAAGATCGGAGACAAAGAAATAATAGAACAAAGAACAATGAACAAACAAGACAAAGAAAACACAAGACAGGAAAGGAAGAACAATTGTAAACAGCTGAATATTTCAATCCAAGAACTGGTTCAGTAGTTGTTCGTGCATGTTTGTTGGGGATAAGCACCAGCAACAAAGGAGATGCTTTCGCTACGGCCAGTTCACCTGGTTGAAAGGGCTACGAGTATACCTTAATTCAGTTGATGATCAACTATACTGGTAAACATACTATAGCTGGTAGTAATCAATACTGGTACTGATTCACTGATTCATGCTTAATACCTTTTTATTTAAACTATACTGGATGCTTGTAGTCCTTGTAGTCCTCACAGGTCCGACCCCTCTCCTTCCAGTCGCCTTCCTCTCGAGGCTCGTCCTGACAGGTCCGACCCTCCCCAGAACGCCCGACCGCGCCGAAACTGGTTGGGCTTCGGTGACGGCGAGGACCAGGACGTCGACGTCTGAAGTGGTTTGGCCAAGGGCGGAGTGGGCCTCGCACCGAGCGTGCCCGGCGCCAGGAGTCGTTTTCAGTTGTTCAGCTCACCAAAGCTCCAGTGTTGGGCAGGAAAACAATGGAAAACAGAGTTAGTTGTTGGCCAGTTTTCCCTTTGACATACCAGTTTTCACTGTTTCGTTTCACCAAAAATACATGTCAAACAAATCATGTCAACACGTGAAACAGCATGTGCCACGCGAACTCGTGCAGGCGAACTCTTGGGCCGCCCGGCATTGCGCCACGCGGAGGCGCGGCACGGCGCGGCGCGAGGCCGGTCCGGCACGTGACGCCGGGCGTCGTGGGGGGGTCGTTTGGTGTGTCGGTGAATGGATGACTCGAAGCATTGAGTTGGTATGGAATCAGTAGCGTCACATGGAATCATGCGTACTGCCAAGGATAACATATATAGTATTATATAGTAAATATATATGTATCTTTTGTGTCTATTTTTTTAAAACCAAGCATCAGGTACATGTGTGCTGACCTATCCGATATGATGTCCTGCAGATGATCTATTCCCTCGATGTCGTGGATGTCGGACTCCAGAGTAGGTCGGACTCCGGTTGAACACACACCCATTTGGCGGGTTTGGATGCTGATTGCTTCGGTCGAATTTCCTCACATGGCTTCGCATCTCGGACCGAAGGCAAGCTGATGCTGACAGCAAAGCGATCGGACGGAGCAGCAAAGCGAAAACCGTCAAGGACGCGGCATCTTGAAAAGGACTTAAACGCTTCGGTTTTTTGGTTTCTTCGAAGAGTTCCTCTTCCCTCTGCATTGTTTTGGAGCCCCCCTGAGGATTTGAAGCGCTGGTGGACACCTTTCTCGGAGCACCAAAGATAATCCTGACGATCACTAGGGGGCTGTTCCTTCTCTTCTGGGTGGATGGAATACAATAGGCCCACCAGTGGAAATATCCATGTCCGTTTCGGAAAGGAAGCGGTTTCCAAACAAACATCCCTCAATCCTCCTGGAGAAGAAGACACGTTTTGAAACACATGTATAAATATGTTCAAATATTATCAAATATCCATTTGGGAGAAGAAGTTCCTACATCCCTCAATCATTTTTCCAAACCTCCCTCCCAAGGAAATGGGGGAGTGAACCTTCGCACGCATGAGCAAGCACGAGGCTGGGACCCACACAACATCTTCTACGTCATACGCAATACATCACCAACGAAAGCCGAACAGCCACCGCGGGACCATTGAAGTCTGAAGTTTGTGAACAGCTGGGGACCAGTTGGTCACATGCTTCTGTCATGGTCAGCCTCGCCACCCGGACTCAAACCGCCCGTCGTGGTCCGGTCAGCTTCGTGGGGCTCCCGGCATCGAAATCCAAGGTCAGCTTCGTCTCCTGACGCTTCTGGCGGCCCTTTGGCGGAGGGCCGAAGTCCGATCGTTGAAGGACCAGGATGATGAGTCCGAGTCCTTGAGAGACGCCTTGGAGTTTCATTAAGGATTTCTATACAAGGTGATGGATCGAGTAGAGGCATTGAATCTGCGATATCCACCGTAATTGAACTATTCCGTGTCGCCCCTTTGACTGGTTTTGATGAATTGAATCTCAATTGCTTGCAGTTCCTTTGTTGGGCAACTTTTATTCTTAGCGGTTCATGCGTTGCAGATCGACTTCAACTCACTCACATGTACCGTGTATAGCTGCCAAAACCACCGGCTCCTGCAAGTTCCACGAACCCGTCTTCTGCCCGTGAACCCGTGAACTCGGCCGGTCCGACCTGGCGGTTCCGTTCCCTGGGCTCCTTGCCCGAGGAGGGTGACAAGTCTGGCAGCGTTGCTTTGAAGCTCGGCACCTCGGGCCGGCGCCAGGGCGCGTCGTCGGCAGACCGCTGAAGTGCGGCGGCGTGGATTCAGACGTGCCGCCAAACGCGCACGTCTAAGCACGGCCGTGTCCACGTAAAGACGTGCCGTGGTAGGTATGCTTTTGAGTGATATTGGGTGATTGACACCCACCGGAAGGGCTGTGAGGCGCCTTCAGACTCGATCGCAAGTTGGTGTGATATTGGGTGATTTGTAGATCTGTGGTGGAATGTAGTGATGGTTCGAATCCGAAGCGCAATGGACTTGGTGGACAAATCCAATTAGGTGCCGAGACTGCAGTGTGGGGAGTGTTGGCGCAAGGTCATTGCTCCTGTATGTCCTTTGCCACTCTTTGACTCATTCGTGTCGAGTTTTCTCGGGTGGCCTTAAGTGTCATGCCTACATCTAAGTAGGTGCCAATGGTAGGAGTTATGAAGTCCTGTTGAAAAGCAATTGTAGGGGTAAGGATGCCAGCAATGCTTCTTTGAAGGTTTGAAGGGAGGACAAGGGATACATCAGGAGGGTAGTGAAGGTCAAACCTCGTTTGCTTGTCAGTACATTGTGGTCCTGGTATGATAGATTCGAAGGAACGTAAGGTATTGCCAGGTCGTATACAAGGCATCACTCAAGGCATCTTATGATACCTCACACAACACATTGACCTTACCTTACCCGATAAAGATATCATGTCCTGGAAGTGGACACGATGACTCGTGCAGTTCTGGGAAGGCTCCCCACGCTTGGCTGAAGCTTACGACCAGTGTTCTTCGAGAGCAGTTGTATAATGTTGTATACCCTCAAACCCGTTGGCTTGAGATTCAAAGAATGTTGCACGCTGCATGATTGGCATTTTCTCCCTGGTTGATATGATACACTCCAAGAAAAGCAGGAGTTGAAGGTGTCTTTCACACACTAAGCCGATTTGGATTTATACGTGAAGAAAACCATTGGGTAAAAGTCAAAAAGGTGTTCATGGGTATGTAATGTCAACACAGGATTAAGTAACCACCCCCCTATTAATCAATCCCAGCTCGACATCCGGTGTTGACATTAGACTGTTGTTGAATAAAGCCCTCCTTACCAGAATGGTTTTTTTCATCGGGGTTTCATTCATCAACGGAGTCGAGAGTGTGCAGCAGCACCTCGGAGCCCGAGCAACCAGAGCCCGTTCTGCGTTTGGGGCTCCGGCCTCTGGGAAGAAGAGAGGCTCAGGCCTCATTCCAGAAGGCAAACCCGAATGTCCAGTGACACTTTGTTGGCACTCCTTGTTGGGCCGCGTTGTGGCGGCAAAAAGAAGCAGCAAGGCATAAGCAATGCTTTTTTTGAGAGGGAATTCCTGTCATCCAGTGATAAACAGCGACGTTGGAAGATTTCCATGGTCCTCATGACAAAAGAACAAACTGCACCTTTAAAGGATCCAAGGTCTCTCACACACACGATCCTTCACCCCAAGAAGTTGGAAGCAAAAGCAACAACGAATTCTCCCAGCCACGCCAGAGGTGATTCTGGATCGCCAACCCAAAGAGTGGGAAATCATCGGCGATGGGATCTGTTTCTGACACACATGGGTGTCACATGGTGTCACTAACATCAGCATGGCAGCATGGTCATGTCATGAGCAATCAACATAAAGACCCACTGCATGGACCAAGTGATTGTCATTGCGCGGTCTGCGCGGTGCGGTCTACGCGGTGCAACACAATGGACAATGGGGGGAACGGGGGGGCCTTCGATACTATTATATACGACTTGCACCACGAAAAGGGCACGTACTACGCCCTGTGTCGTCCATTTCTGCCTTTCCTCAAACAAGTTTAGCTTTTATGCGTTCAATCCTCGAGATCTTATCTCCATGTTGTCCATGTTCTCAATGTTAGGCTCTCACCGCTGATTTGGATGCGTATCAAAACAGGGAGACCGACCACCGGCAACGAAAACGAAAAAGGATGGCGTCTACCCCACAGAGGGGCGAGAGGACTCGGGGGTCTCCCGGACAGATCTCCCTATTCCAATACCAACCAAAGCAAATCAACACTGATCTCCCTAATACTCTCCCTATTCAAATAGGGTTTAGGGTTTAGGGTTAGGGTTTAGGGTGAATACAACGCTGATTTTTTCAACCAAACCTCCAAATCAGCCACGCCACAGCACCTAAGGCGCCGAATTCCACCGATTCGGTGTCGAGTGCCCGTGCGGTTCGGACTTGTGCAAGCGCAAGGCTCGAGTCCGAGTGCCCGCGCCTTCCAAAACGGGCACGAGAGCGTTTTGGTCGCTACCAGGTTGGAGGCCATCGCTAGTAGGTTATCGCTAGTAGGTTGGAGGCACTCACTAGCAGGTTTGAGGCCATGGCTAGTAGGTTGGAGGCCATCGCTTTTTCGTTCAATGAGAGTGGTTCTTTTTGTTCGACCTGTCACGAGCTGAATCAACTCCACCGAGAGCCGCATGCCGCCGTGGCTTAATCCATGGGACTTGGAGGTGGCGTGGCTTCTTCCAGGTGGCATGGGTTTCGGATGGTTTCGGGCTCCGGAGCCATGTCCATATCCAGGTTTCTGGAGGCAGCACATATATAGCTGGTTGCCGCAGGCAGCAACGGGCCCACCCCAAAAATCACCAGCATGCTGCAGAAGATCACCGATCACCCTCCCAGCACGACTGACCAAGCGCGATGATCTGGAGAGCATAGTCTTCCAAGTCTTCCAAAACAAGAGAGCTAACGCAGGAGCTTAATTTTCTGTCATATGATTTTGATTGATTTTGTTTTTTTTTGGAGGTTTAACTTTCCTATCGATCAGTATAGAGTTATAGGTTTTGTCTGGGACTTTAGAAGCACCAATGGGAGGCCGTCTGACAGGACTGGAATCCTTTGGATTTTCAATTTAGAGACTCGTCACCCAGACTCGGCTTTTCCATGCTTTTCCCAACTCACCTCATTTCAATTTGGATTTCACTCTTTGGTTTCGAGCTACTGGTGAACCGAAACAGCGACCGAACCGCTTGCCGCTACTGGTGCCCTCAACCAAACAGTCTCACACACCGACTCCCCGACGAACATGGCGACGGACTCGGTCACCTTTCTCCTCGAAGTGGATGAAGGTGTTCCTCGGGTCGGGGGTGTCCCGGTCTCCAGGGGCATAGGCTTTGTGCTATGACCACACGGGGCAACAAGGGAACATGTGTTCCTCCACATACAGTATGTTTCTCCTTTTTTGTATTTTTTCTTATCTCTTCATGGGCATGAAATGGCATGAACAAACACATAGACGTTGTATTGATGCGTGATCATGGAGAGCATTACCCCATATATGGCCTCTTGGGCCAGCCCGCATCTACTGTGGCGCATGGGGGTCCACCAGTGTATGGCATGACCCAATTCCACGATGAATCCAGTGGATGACAAATAATCTCAGGGTCTGACACCCCAGCAAATTGATCAAAAATCATTGTTTTCCCCACTGTGCACCATATTTCTCTAAAGACCTTGCCCTTGCCCCGACGTTTGCTGAAGTTCTTAGTTCTTTGCTGGACTTTCTGAGCCGAGTTGCTTCACAGGCAAAGTGCACTCAGTCTGGCCCTGCAGAGTTTCACCGCAAGATTCGGGCGTTCGGGCAGATTCTCGGCCCAAATTGGGGACGGAGCTGGATTCCAAACAATCCATGGACTGGAATAGTTATAAGTTATAACTACAATGTTACATTGATCCTTAAGACATATTAAAACCACCCAAATGTAGGCAAACATTAAGATTAAAGAAACACATATTCCAGTCCTCCTGGATTGTTTGGTATAGGAACTGCATGATAGGAAACCTTCCTGACATGATGTGCTGACAATTCTGTCTAGATCTTTGCTGTTTCGCAGTATCCAGCTGCATCTAGCCATCAAGATCTTCCAAGTGAACCAGCTGCATCTAGAACTCCTATGGACTCCTGTCACGTCTTACAAGCGCTGAAGCAGGGCATCTTCATTCCGAGACAGCAAAGCTCCCAACCCCCCCCAAAACAAGATCCATGCGATCAGCGAAAACTTCTGGATCCAGCTCCTCATCCAAAAGATGGACTTCTAGTTGGACATCCGTACTTGACTTGCCAGGCGCAAGGGCGGACGATTTTGTTTCGTGGCCTGGGGTTCTGAACGTCGGTTCGAAGTCACATCTTAATCTGACAGGACCTGACAACTTAAGCAGGTCAGATCAAGACCCTGCAACTAGTAGCTTCTTGTTACATCTTGTTACTAGTAGCGACGCCCTTGGCTACTAGTAGCAATGCACTTGTTCCTAGTGGCTATAAGTAGCTTCGAAAAAAGGTCTATCCTGAGATTGCCAAAATTTGAGAAGAGGAAGTGAAGAGAAGGAGTGCTTTCAGGGTACGTACGGTCGTGTGGGTGAACCAACCCAATCTCTGAAAAAAGGCCGTCGGCCGAGGAGACGTGCCTCGAAGATGACGGTCATTCCTGGTCAGCACAGGCACCGAATGCAACGAACAAAGGGACCTCATTGATCATCATTGACTGGTGGGACACCGGGTAGCAGGGCAGCCAAGTGGCAGTTTGCACCCCAGAACCCCTTGACAAAGATCTGAGGCTCTGACAACGCCTTTTTTGACATCTATCAATTGGGTGAATCTCCTGCCCAGCCGAGTTCTGTAGAGCTGGTCTTGACTTGCTTCAATTTCACAACTTGCTCAACGCTCTTAGAACCTGGAAACCCAAACAATCAGAAAGAAATGGATGTTTCCCCAGTCCCGGCCATTTCCTCTGTTTCCAGGATCTCAAGCTGGCGCCATAGACTGGGTTCCAACCATTGGTTTCTGGGACTTGGTTCGGACATAAATACCAGATTTGACCACCTCGTAGACCGAGACATCCCCGAAATCCTCGGTGATTTCGGACCAACGGTCCACAGGTCGGGCGGTCGGAGCGACAAAACTGGATCCGGGAGGTCAGGCAATCCCTCAGTGCTCAATGAGGTCAGTCAGACCAGGTTTAACTTGGCCGACTTGGACGAAGGTAGGACTACTTGCAGGGGCGCTGTGTGACCCCTTGGTCGCCAATCAGCATCTCAGAGGTGGTCTTACGAGAATTCTCACTTCGTAGGTTCCAAGCAGAACATCAACTAGGGGACCCCCTCGAATCGGATTGTTCTCACCCCCAAATCTTCAGATTTCAGGGCATTGAGAACTCCTCCTCACACATATGACTGCATTGAAGAAATCTGACCTCTCAGGCGTAGTTGCAATCTAAAACCTCAGCCCTCCAGCTCTCCATCCAGCCCATGCCACGCCCCGTGCCTCTAAAGGCTCAGCTCGCAGCGGAGGTGGACGATGCTTCCCGCGCCGAGATGGACGACGGACGACGGACGCAGCTGCACGAGAAGCCAAAGCGGCAGAGTGTTGGTGTGAAGACTAAGGATCGATTCGGAGCGGGCGAAGATCTTTTTGCCACCAGGGTCTGGTATGGGTTTGCTTCGATAGATCGTCCTGGAGATCAACCGGTCTGGTCTCCAGGTTCTGATTGGCTGGGAGCCCGTCCTGCAACTCAAATGGGTGAACGTCATGTTCACCCTTCTTTTGTTTACCCTGGCTGCTTGAAATGTGTTAGCCTGGCAAGGTCTGTTTTCGGTCGCCCAAAATACCATGCTCGGTCCGCCCAAAATATCCACGTCGTGAGCCATGCGCTTCGCCATGTGCTTCGCCATCGAGACTCGGCGGGACCTCCTTTTTCCTCCTGAGACGCTGGTGTGAGCGATCCAGGAAGACGTCGTTCTTGCATGAGTCATTTGGATGGCCGCGTTTCTGGCCTGTTCGTTCTGATGTCCCCTTCTTTCCAAGGAGTATTTTCCTGGTTGAAGCCATCGAAACCCTCCAAGTGAAAGCTTCTTGGAGATCCAATTCATGCCATTTCCTGCAATCATCCACCTCCAGACTTGCGCTGTACGCTGCGTGCGCTGCCACACCGGCGCCACGCCACTCAACGAACACGGCCATCCGTTCGTCCCAAGCCTTCCGGAGCCGTTCGGATGCCTGGATACCTTCGAACCAACTGACTGAGTTCGACTGGCCCTGAGTTCCTCCGCCCCCCCAAGAGAGGTTGAACAGACCTTTTGTCGCCCATCCCATATGTACCACAGACCAGGGTCCGAACGTGAAGCGGTCTCTCAACCTCTCTTGGCCTTTTTGACCATAAGCAACCTTTGTTTTCTTTTCGACTCGACCCTCGTATACTTCTACTTACAAGCCCACGTGCTGCTTTTCAGCATTGGAATTCCAGGCATGGATGAAGACCAAACTGTTTGGGGTCTATGCTGGTTCTCTTCTTTATTGAACTAATAGAGGCCTCTCCCAGGCATCGCCACGTGCCGTCGGTCTGGTCGGGACCGCCGCGGTGTAGGCTCGGCGCGGTCCCGCTCCATCGCGCCGCCGGTCTGGAGCTCGGTCGTCAGAGTGGGGTGGTGATGAGGTCAGGCTCTCTGCTCTTACAAGCCACTACTACTATACAATTACTGCTGCTGCTGCTGCTACAATTCTAAGGGTTTCTGGTGTGTTTCTGATGAGGTGCCCATAGTTCGGCAGACTGGGCAGACCTCGCAGATCAGCAGGGCGCTGCTGTTGCAGTGAGGCCGAGAAAAACACGAAAAGCAGGGTGTGAAGACCGGTCCAACGAGAAGCGAGACGCAAAGCAAATCAAAGACAAAAACAAGCCAAGAGGCAACAGAAACAAATAAATACATAATGCAAATATATATGCACATGTCGAAGAAACGCAAGGAAGCACGCAATGCAATGCAAGAGAGAGGGTCAATTCAGGTTTGGAGAGCCCAATCTATATGTGACAAATGCATAAATAAATGTGTGGGACTGACTATGTGTGTATATATTAATATACAGTAAATATACAAGGCAAAACGGTGTACAGTGTCTACAATGTCTGCAACGGTTTCCTCCCAATCTACAATGAAGGTTGGTTGATTTGTCCATGTGAACCCTGAGAAGTCATAAGGAGAATCATAAGCCCTTCATGCAGTCTCTCTGGAATGTTCTAGCTCACCCACGCTTGGTTCTCAGCTTCCCTGCCACCTATTTGCAGTTCACCTGCTTGGAACTGGCTTTACAACATGAGATTTGCTTTTGCTCACTGGGTTGCTTACAGCTTACGATCGAGACCATTTCAGACCTCAGGCAAGCGCACGGGAGCAGCGATGCAATTCTGCAAGCCGCTGCTGGAAGCTGTGCGATTTGACAAGAAGGAGTAGAGCGCCTTTGTGGGCAACGTATATTAGATTCTCAAGCTGAGCAACATGGAGACCAGCTGGTCAGGAAGTCATGGTCGAGGTCCTGCTATAGTCATGGATTCTTATGGGAGGGAAGTCATATCCCACCACTTGCTATAGTCCAACTGTTGCAAGGAAATTTTGAGGGGAATCCTCCGTGTTGCGGACACTTTGAAGACAGTTACAGAGTTACACACTAACAGTTGTTACGGGTACTACTTGTATTGTACTTCATCAATTCTAACCCCCCCTAGAATTGATGCATCAATTCCAATCCAACCCCTCCTTAATAAAGAAGGGGCAAACATTGATGACTCTGAACCTCGAGCTGACTGATAGTGGTTCATCGCCGGAAAAGCCGATCCACCGATACCGATTGGGCCTGACGGAGACCGTAAGAACGAACTCATCTGGTATAGCCGGAAGTTCACCTTCCCGAGTTCCTTTGTCGAACACTGCCCGAGTTCCCTTGTTTGCAACATCAACTTCATGCGAGTTCAGAAAAAGAACACACACACACATGGAGCCGGCTCCAATGGCACCGCACGCTCAAACCGGAGAACCCAACGGTGATTTGGGGCGTTTCTGAAAACAGTTGGAACTACGCAGCGCCTTAGAGCCCCAGGCGGCTCAGTTGAGGAAGCCACTTCGGGAGGGCCGCCCAGGGAAGATGTGACGTGCCGGGTGTTTGGCATTTGATTCATCGCCCTGCCAGTGAATACCAGTATACAAGTAAGGAGTGCGAGAAAGTGGCGGGTGCGAGGAAGTTGTATGCGGCATATCCTTTTTGGCACATCCTCCTTGTCGTCGCCTTTTTGAGGCATAACAAGGGCAGCTAAACACCCATCTGTGTCGATCCGCGTCACCATCCAGACTTTGCTTCGACCTACGGTCTGTGTCGGTGTCGACCTCTGTCTGATCCACGTGGTCCATCGCCACGTTCGCCGGGAAGTGGGCCAAGACGTGCCAATTGCTTCTCTTTCAGGAACCCCAAAAGAGGACGTGCCAATCTACCTGAAGTGCAACCGTGAATGTTGTGCGAGGAAAGTGGTGCTTCCCCGTCAGACCTCTCTGGGACTATAAATTGATGCGCACTCATTATGTACCTGCTACAAAGAAAGATATTCATGGAAGACACTGAATACCCAGCAAGCCTCATAGGCCAAACACAATCTGCTTTCTTGGAATGGCCTTTCCATGAAGTGGGGCATTGTGCTAAAAGGACACCATACACACAAGCTAAGCAAAACTGAGAAACTATGTAACCATGGCCAATCAAATGAATGCAACATCTGTTGGCCAGACTTTATGCAAAATATTGCAAAATCAGTATCTGTGTGGGTCTTTCCTCTTAGTAGGCACACCCTTGCCAAACAGCAGCCAACTTGGGCAACTCTTTTTTTGCTGCACGATTTGGCAAAATGTTCTGCCATGGGTACGTAGGTTTTTGGTCCGCAAATTCTGAGTTGCAATGCTCGGAACCTGGGCCTGGAACCGTGTTTGGCTGCCGCTTGTGACACCACCGACACCACTTGTGACGGAGGAATCGCACGTCAGGAGGTGCATCACTTGAAGGTGGTTCCTGCTTGAGCTGGACCTGGCGACACGGCGATGAAGCTGGCGACACGGCGAAGCGGTCGGTTGAACACCGATGACCGATGCGGTGTATGGTCTGTACCCCCAAAATATCTTTGCAAATGTATATGCAAAAGTGTTGTTGAAACACGCTGTAAAGAGCAGTCAACATCAGCTTGGTCAATCCTAATTACCCCGTCACGTGAAGCCCTGCTGAGATCAAGGGTGTCACGCATGTTGGCCATCGTCCACTCGTAGCCGGTGTTTGGCACATGGAGCTTGGCTGTATCGTTTTTTCAGGGTTCAAGCGGTTCGACCTTCGTCTGTCCCATTCCTTCAATATAGTCGTGCACGTGCATTGGGTCTGCATGGGTGAGCAAGAGTCTTCATGGACCGACATGGACGGTGCTTTCTGGAGACAAAAGGACTGGCCGCTGACGATGGCAAGGCCATGAAAGGAAGGGGAAAAACGGAAAGGATGGTTTTGGTCGGACCACCATTTCTCCCTCCAAAAGGAACTGAACAAGGATTACAAGCTGCAATTTTCACATCGTCCATATCCAACAGAAATTGGGGATCAACTACAACTTCACACAGGTAGCCCTCAAACACCGGATGCTGACCAACACAGCAACAAAATGCAACAAACTCAAGCTGAAGTTCCGTCACCGTACACACAGATGCTTTCTTCACAACATCAAAGCCAAAAAAGACATACATGGCCTTGATATGCCTTAATACAGTATTTGGGATCCTTTGGGTGTGTAGCTCTTTCATCTCAGAGCCAGAAGATCAAAAACCACAGCGTTCCGACCCCACAGGTCTCTGGCGGTTGATCGAGGGGGTCGAACACGGCGTCCAACAGGGCAACAAACCGGGCTTCAAAGAGAACAAAACACACCGACAGCGACTCAGGAATCAACATGGATCTCTTTGATGTCTTCTCCGTCCTGTTGTATTGTCCACATGTTCCAACTGATAGGGGTGTTTGATTTGCCCTGTTTTGACCGTTTTGACCCATATCTAGCGGAGTTTCTGAGCGCAAAATCAACAGCTGCCGCGCTGCCTTTCTTCGAACGCGAATCACTGAGCCATGACTACCGCCATGCCAGAAGCAAAGACCAATCTGAGGAACGTCGTAGTAGTTAGTCCCGGCGGTTCAAGATCATGTGTTGGGTTGTTCAGAAAATTAGTCAAATGACTGATCCCCCCAAAAAATCCCACCAACCTTGCAAACTTTAAGGGTCCGAAGACCAAACCACCATGGTTTTACCAAGGTTTTAAGACTATTAAGACTCCTTACCGAACCAGATCAACCCTTCTCTTATATCATGGTCTTTGAAGGCTAGGGTATCAGATGGGTTCCAGGCACCGAGCCATTCTGGCACTCTCACAGGTCAAACATTTTCCACTACTGCACCCAGTACCTCATCATTTTCGAGAAAAAACACATTTGGGTGTGTAATAGGGAGACCTTCAACCAGTGGGTGGTCCAATTCTCTTCTTCCAGTGGGTCGAACTGAGAGGTGTCCCGTATTAATACGATGTTTTTCTGTTTCAATTTAAGGAGTGATTGGCAAACCTTTCCAACATGTAGGTAGGTGAAGTGGTTTGGAATAGCTACCAATCCCTTGTGGAAGATCAAATGCTACCTTCAACAAGGCGCTGGTGGCCCTTCCATTTTTGAACACCTGATTGCTCTTCCAATGAAGCGTTTTACAAGCGTTTGCTGACAGAACAGTGCGTGTGTGAGGTCTAAAGGATTCTAAAGGTGTGACCACACGGTTAGGGGAATGAAAAAACAAAACCACCGACTGGGACACACTTATGCCCACAGTCACAGGAACTGTCACATTTGGACCATCACACCGTAACTTGCACCCTCACACCGTTCTGGACCGTCGCACGGGGGTTGCGATCTGTTACGACTGATCTACGTCGTGCTGCCGTTTCTCGGTCCATCGCCTCCTTCTCTCGGACGGCGGCGGTCGGACCCCGACGCGGACGGAACGAGAGGCCCGTCGACCGCGGCGGCGAAAGGGAGATGATCGGGTCGGGTGACTGGTCGGCTGACCGGAGCTGATGGATGTCCAATGGTCGCTCTGACTGGTCAGGTCTGTTTTCTTCCAAGCGTTTTCCGGCTCCAAGCTTTCGTGCTTCGATCCATGAGTCATATGGATGTCAGAGATCCAATTGGTTTCAATTACCCTTCAGTCCAATGGTCTGATCCAAGAGAGATGATCTGTTCCCTTGAAGAATCAGACCTTGTTTTTGCCCATTCAAAGGTTCTGGAGTGTGTGAAACCCCTCTGTCGAACTCAGTTCGGCCCAAGAACTGTAGGGTTGCCACTCGGTTCAACTCAGATCAATCATAGCAGAGTCGTTGGAATCCTAAAAGTGCCTGAATCCAGGGATGAACATCTTCATCCCTCCACGGCTCTCAGCCAATTGCAGGGTGAATGCCCTTTGCTGGGGTTCCTGCCTAGTGTTTCCACACTAGAGGTCTGGGATAACTCGTTAGGCTGTAGCCCTCCTTGACTGAGAGGGGGACAGTATCTTGTCATGCAGCTGGTGCCCTTCGCGCTCAGAAAACATGCGTACTGAGATGTAGTGAGGATGGATGTGGGCATATGTGAACTCCATTTCTGGCGGTTCCATAGTGGGTAGAATCGGCCTCATCGTCGATCGTTGGCCTCTCCTTCTTCCGCTCCGTCCTTCACTCATAGGTTGACGGGGCCTGGGGCCTGGCGATACACGCGGCCGGCCAGAGCGCGAGGACGGCGAGACCGCTGAGGCTCTCCATTCCGTTCCTTTTTTCCTGCGCAGCTTGAGCTACTTTCACTTTAATCAGCACATGGTTATCCAAAAGGAGCAAAGTTGAAAGTTACAAGGCTTCCAGCAACTGGATTCAAGCAAGACTGCTTGAAAGAACCTTTTGCCTTTGGTGGGTGAGACATACCATGTTGAACCGCATGGAAGACATAAACAGGGTCTCGTTGAAATTGGAGAACTACCGGTGGGGAGCTTCTCTCAAACATGGTGCACCTGCAGTAAAAGATATTCCCACCAAACTCTACCAGCACCTTCATGTCGGGGTCACCTGGCTGGAAGCTCCCCAGCCCACCACCTATAGGCATCTCCAGACAGGACAAAAAAACCGAAATGAAGGTCCCAACTCTACCACTGTTGCTTTGCCATGCCTTTCCCAGACAGCGTGCGATCGCGTGTCGGAGTGGACGTCCGGTCGTCCGGGTCGTCCGAGCCGTCGGCAGAAGGAAGTCACGGACACCAGAGCGGCGATCAAAGGCTCATTGGACCCTCAGTTCGGTAGGGTTTTGACCCTCGCAACCAGGGTTTTGGACCTCAAACATGTAGCAGTTGGTTCGGGTCCAGGGTCGCCTCTGGGTAATGCTTTGTTTCGTGGATCAACGTCACATAAACATTCTACCATCCCGTCTCCGCGTCTGGCGCTGCGGGTTACCCGTTGGTCAGTCCCCTCACAGGCCCCGACCAGAGCGCCCTGGGCCATGATGTCCTGGCAGCCACGGGCCGTGAGCGTTCAAATGGGGTGGGTTTATTGATCAACCCTAAGAATCCTTAAACCCTCCGAACTGGAGGGTTTTGACCCTGCATAGCAGAGGTTTGGACCCTCAAAACCTTCACCTTTGAGGGTCCTTGATTCTTAAGGAAGAGTCAGAGTCTACATTATACAAGAGTCATCAACGATGGGGATCGGCTTGGCATGCTGGGTGGTACCCAACAGATGGTGCCAAAACTGAGCCAAGTGGTGGCAATCGAACAATGATGTGGAGTCTTTGGGTATCGACATTGCGGGGAAGAGGACAGCGGTCGCTGTCGGGGTCATGGTTTTCAGCTTTACAAACAAACAGTTGGTGGGAATGGGACGATACATCATGATAGACCCAACCAAAGATTGTCAGAACATTGCGAAGGAGAAACGATTGCCAAGAGAGTGGCAGCAACAGGCAGCAACCAAGAAAACATAACAGTACACCTCCAGGAGCTAACAAGTTCAAACATCCTGAAGAATCTGGCTTTATCAAAGCCTGACAGCAGGGAAGTTAAAAGTAAACACATAGACAGAATGGACTACTACTTGGGGGACCACTAGTCCAGTCACTCTAAAATTATGTATATTTTATACTGCAATATCCAACCAGCAAATGTGTAGCTCCCCGTGGCTCAAAATGGTCGGAAGAACTGGATCACTCGCCCCCGTTCTCGCTCCCCGTTCTCCCTTCCGATGTCCCAACCGTGGCTCTACCCTATAAACGGGCTCCGTTCGTCCGCCGTTTTCGCTTTCGGTGGACCAAAGGCGTCGTGGGTGCCAGGGGGTCGAAGACCACCGAACCGGGAGGGGTCGATGGGCCAGCCCAATGGCCCGAGTGAGTCGAAGGGATCTCTCCGTCCCTCCCCCCGTCCTCGAGCTTTTGTCTCTTCGTGGGCGGTTCAACTGCCAGACCTGCGCAGTGCTTCGACCGAAGCTCAGGCGGCAGGCGGCTGAAGCTCGGGCGAACTTTCGCCGTACCACGCCGTACATCGTGGGAAGAGAAGGCGCTTCAGGAAGTGGTTTCAGTGTATCACCTGCTGAAGCGCTACCTGGAAGCATGCCCGAGGACGTGAGGGTCACCTGGAACGGGCCTCTTTCTTCACGGCCCCGTCCTTTTTTTGTCCAAAAAAATGCGTTTCAGACCGGAGCTCTTTAGTGCTACCACTTGTTTGTGCACATCTGTCACACTATTGCTTCGGCCTGGAGCGTCCCGCGGGATGCAAACAACTCGGTCTCAATGACTTTTCTCTCCGTGATTGCACACGTGGACGGATGGGTCGTGTAGTCTCCCATCCCACGTAGTGGCTTTTTCACGCACATCCTTGACTTCACCTGCAGGTTCACAGTGACAATTACAAACCTGTTTCTTGTAGACAAAAAACTGGGGGTCCGTATAAGATATTAATATCGTATAGTAATCATGACATTGCAATGACTGTGTCATCTGGTGTTTCTCCAGAAAAATAACTCTATGAACTCCACAGCAGTTCTATCTCTATTCCCCCTAAAGCTCTGCCAACCCTCTCGTGCCCCGCCTGCACCGGGTCCTTGGACATTGTGTGCCTGCGGATCCATGTGCAAATCCAAGTAGATCAACATGACATAACATGACTAGACATGGCAAAGTCAACGCCTCCAGGACCATCCGTGGGGAGATCCCCAAGTAGTGTGGGGTTGAACACATTTGGACACCCAAACAGAATGGTCCTGGTACGTAAGTGTTTCATATTCATTTCGCTCGTAAGCTCTTTCACATGCTCTTTTGATGTTCCTTAATGGCTTGTGTTTGGTCTATGGCGAAACCTAGGCTTTGTTTGTGACCTTGTGCCGGATCGGATTTCCATTCAACTAGCACCTTTTTAATTATACCTAGGGGAATACAAGGAGATGTTATGCATACATTTTAGGCGGATATTGGCGTATAGACCTTGGTGACCATTGGTGGTTTCTTGAACAATTCCTGCACCATGTGGGTAGCAAAGCTGCAGGTCTTGGTACACTTGTCCTTTTCCTCTGATGGATCTGATGGCTTTGGGGTTTGAGCCATCTCAACATTGTTTCACACTTTCTATATTGCAAGCGTTCTCCAGCTCCAACCCATGTGAGGAGTGTCCTGACCGAGCTGCTTTGCTTATCGGTTCATGCTGGCAGGCTCGGCTCATCTATGATGCCAGTCATTCCTTTTTCAGCCACTGCCCAGGGGTCTACATGAAGCAAACGGTCTTGGTCCGGTCTGTTTCACCCCTTTCGAAGCGAGTCCATCGAAATACAACGCCGAAGCGACACTGGACATCACCGCGGTTTCGATGCATCACAGGGGCCTTGTGTGGGGAGGTTCACAGGAACTTCTGTCTTTCGATGCGTCGATTCCAAACACTCTTCAGTGTCCAAGGGTCCAAGGGGGCCCTGCAGGGCCCTGAGCCCACGGGGCCCGGGGCCCTGCGGCTCTGGCATGTGTGACTTGGACCGTTTTGCAGCCAAATTGACCCGTGAGGACGTCAGGACGACGTGAGGAGTGCAGAGCAAACTGCCAACTGGCCTGTGGCTTGCCGTCCTGGAGAAGGGACCAACGGATGCATTCTCCCCGTTTTGATCTCAAGTGGGTGATCCTTTAAAGTCGACGACATGAACTGCCCCAGTCCCTTTCCCCGAACGAAGGGTACCCTGGTCAGACCTCCCCAAAGCCTAAAACGATAGAAGAAGGGCGCCTCCAATGGCAAAATGACGTAAAAAGCTCCCTATAGCCTGCAGGTCAGACCATTCTTTTGTCTTTGACTCTCAGGGTAGAACCCCTGCAGAACGCTCAAGTAGATGTTCATAGATTTTCCACCATCCAATCCATCGGTTGTAGAACCCCTGCGAATTGCGAATCAAAATTCAATCCTAGACAGCAAGAACTGTGGAAGAACATAGACCCCCTCTACCTGAGCTCATAATTGGAAGGAATAACTGAGAAATACTGAGAACAAAACATTCTTGTCACTTCCTATAAGCCCCTTCTAAAGGAAGATCCAGGAAAGACATTGAAAAGACCACAAACCTAAAGTCATGATAAGGGAAGAAATCCACACATCTGCCGGACAGATAGTCGGGTCTGTGAAGATCTCCCATTCAGTGACGCTTACGAACTGGTTGCACTACTATGCATTTTTGGCACCCCTTGGCACATTAGGAAAGGAACCTCACGCCGTCTTGCTAATTCTGGCTTCTTGGGTACCTAATTGGTTCACAGCGATGACATATATCCAAGGTAATTACTCTACTCAGCCATCTAAAACGATCTTCCACCATTTTCTACCCCATGACCAGCCCTGACATCCCTGCCGCCACCGCAGAAAAATACACACACAGCGGTGTAGGCTTTCCCGCTTTCCACCGCTTTCCACCGCTTTCCCGTCCTCGGTCAGGCCCAGCTCAAAGGTCACCATGGTACCCGCCACCTGGCGTCAGCGCTTCGCAGCGGTCCCGACGCTTCGGGCGAACGGACGAGTCATTTCGGATGTCGAGTGCCCTGTACTTGTATACTGCACCTCGGAATGTTGATTTCGTCCACGTGCAGTATATACTCTTACTGCCCACCAAGTCCATATTTGAGCACCCATAATGTTGAGAGTTCTTTTTGCACCTCTTTCCCATTCGGACCCTCACAAACTAACGACCCCTCCGACAACCACGGTGTGGCACATCCACTTCACTTAGGGCTGCAAGCCTGACGACACACCGCAGAGGGCTGAGACGACACACCGACCGGTCCCAGACCGAGAGCCTTGTGCGGGCAGTTCATCATCTCATTCTTATGCATGAAGACGTCGCAACCGAACCTGGCGAGCGATTTCGTGGTTCGTGAGCGGTGTGCGTGTGCAGCGATCCGCACAGACAAAGGGCGGAGTTGGTGATGCTATTCGACGGCATGCGAGAGGAGCGCCCTTTGGAGAGGAGGGGGTCGACTGGCAAAAGACAGGTGTGACCAAACCGTGTTGATGCAAGAACTGCATCTTGAACAGTACTGGAGGCCTCAAATGTTGGAAGCTTCAAGAAATAAGCTCAAAACATGTCGAACTGCCTCAGAAAGAAGCGTCCGTCCACGGTCCGTCCCTTTTTTAGAGCCTCCATCCAGTGGGCCACGTCTCCGTCCCTTTCAAGGCCGTATGACCGGAGGCCATGGACCCACGGTGGAGGCCTGGTTCGGTCGGTCGGTCCCAGTCGTCACGAAAGCGCTGATGAAGCTTCTGCTCAGCGGCTTCGGTCTATATCCAAAGGTCCGGAGGGCGCCGGGGGGAGCTCCGGATCCGATGGGTCGACGATGGGAGGACGATGTTCCGAACTGCTTCTCTTCGGAGCCTTCGGATCCGAGGTTGATGGACGAAGCAAGGCCCGCTGACCATACCCCGCTGGACGTATACCGCGCGGTAAGTACCGCTGTAGTGCCGTGCCTCGCTTGCAACTCCTCGGAGGTGAGGAAGCCCCAGCCATTCTTCTCATTGTAGGCCTCCGAGACGAAGGGAAGGAAAAGCCAACGGCGGGGATACGAACACGATCGCCATGCCGGCAGGCTCCATACCGGTTCTGGGTTTTCCATGCCAGGGGAGGTGATAGGCTGCTTGAAAGTCCGACAAAACATATGAAGGTTTTCAGAGTGACCTGAGGTCCTAGGGTCCCAGTAGGTCTTAGTCGTCAGTGGTGGTCACTTTAACGTAACACATCAAGCAATGGCTAGAAGACTACCCTTAGGAAGGGATATCAATCCTTCCATAATCGGCCCATCCAAGCATGTCATGGCTGACGACTTCCACCGATAACTTGGTGGAAGATGGATCCCGGCGCCGGTGGCGCACCTTGATGACAGCGGAGAAGAATTCTCCTGTGGGTGTGCCTCAGCCAGGAAGCGAACACCCACGAGTCGGGCCCATGGACCTTCCATGGGTTGTGTCCTCACAGGAAACGTCATGGCATGCCTTCCATTTGGAGCCGGCAACGACAGGAAACGGCTGGCCGAGCTTCGATCACACAACGAGTTCTGCCTTGTGGCGATCTTGGGCGAATGCCCGTCCTTTTGGCAAACGAAATACCCCGCAATTCTAGCTGCAATCTATACTAAGATGGGTTCAAATGCTTAGCAACTCCTTCATTTGGCTCCTGAGGTATGCTTAGTATGCTTAACGCCCCCAAGGACCAAAGAATCACAATTTGTCCTTTCGATTCCCCAATGACTGGGCTGTCGGAGGTCTGACCAGATCTGACCAGTTAGGGAAGAAATACCGACATGCCTCTCTTCTCTCTGTACACAATGTCTTCAGACCAGATTCTGAACTTCCGAGCCGGAGATTTGTGGACACCTCCAGGCTAAACCAGTGAAATCATGTGAAATCCATTTTCTGCCCATTGGGGATTCCCATGCCTCCAAAACGGCTTTGCCTTCTATCCACTACGTCCTGGAGTGGATTCTTTGAGCCCTTGGAAGAACCCAAGCGCTCAAAAAAACAGCCAAAAACATGGAAAAAACAAGACAACCAACAACAACGTGTCGATCCGGACCTTCACCCTTCCCCAACTCCAGGGCCGAGAAGCTCTTGACCGTTTGGTTCTTTTGTTTCAGGGCCTCCCAAGGTGGTGGCACCGTCGGATCGTCCTGACGCGACAGTGCACAGCCGCTCTGGGAGGTGAGGGGTCAGACGTCCACGGTGGAAGACCATGTTCCGAAGAAACAGAGAGGTGAACTGCACGGAACCATGGACCCGAGTGTGACATGTAGCACCTGCCGGGAGACTCCCCGAGTCTCGCTGGAAGGACCTTGGGCGCCCACGTGGCGCTACTTGGGCGATCTGGTGGATCGGATTCTCGGGTAGGTGGTCGGACACCCCGAAATGAAGGTCCGGGTAGATCATATACACTCCCGAAAAAAGAAAATGCATAGACCCTGACAGTGGTCCCATGGAAGATGATTTCCTCTATACCAACCAGGGGTGTACTCAGGTTCCATGTGGATCATCTTCCAGGGTGTACACTCCCCGAAAGAATCATGGTAAGTGAAGTTCACCAGCTGTTTAACATTAGAGGATGCTCATGTTCCAATCCAAGAGGCCATTTTCCATCCATCCACGGAACCATGATGGTTTTCAAGGAGTGTATATTTGATGATGTGCTTCTATGAATGGACATAATGGGATCATATGGGATCTCTTTTTGGAGTCTTTAACATTGACCATGCACCAGTTTTTTGTTCAGAGACTCTCGACGATGTGCGAGTCAAACTTGAACCCATATATATTGCCTTGCATGGCCTTACACTTCGGGATCAGAAGCGTTGCGATTAGAATCACGAGAGAAGGGAGAACCAGCGATGTGTCATGGCATTTCTTTTGAGTGTTCAAGATTGACGGGCATCCAATTTCCGCGAGTACCGGTAGTACTACAAAGGCAGTGTTTGACCTTAAAAATCATGGACATATCCAGGGATGTATACCTAACTTTGTCTTGGTTAACGGAGGGAGACCTGCGTTTCAAGCAAGGGATGAGTGTTTCTTTCTTTCTTTTTTTCTTTCTTTCTTTCTTTCTTTTTCTCTCTCTCTCTCTCTCTTGTGCTCTTGCTGAGGTACGCTACAATATGGCCTTGGGCGTAAAGGCAGCAAAAACAACAGAAACTGTAACAACACAATACACTCTAGCACGTCGCCCTCTGCCTTGATTGCTTCGAAACCTCGGTATCATAGAACAAACCCTCTGTCTTCCCCGCGCCGAACCCCGGACTTCTGGCTTTCGTGTTTCGGTTCGATCCTCCGAATGCGACATCGCAGTGAAACGGACTGGTGACACCCGAAGCATCACCTCACCTCGCGGGCCCGCGGCGAAGGGCCGACCCGGTCCGACCCGACGGACACGGCGGTGTCGGTCCCGTGAGAAGGACAAATCTCCGGGCAAAGCTTCCCAAGTGGGGTCGCACAGCATCCTGAGCACGGGGTGGAGTGGTGGAGACGCACGTCATGGCGCTGTGTCTCGTGTTTTGACCATGACGTTTCTCCCAAAAACCAGACACACAGAGAGAGAGAGAGAGACATGTGGAGAAACAAGTGGAGAAAGACACACAGAACACCTGCAGGTCAAAGTCAGAGTTAACGTTTCGAATTGTGAGCAATGGTCTTGAGGACATTAGATCATCAACCAGCTTCTTGAGCATTGATTTGGCAAACTCTGACCAGGCGTGTAGACCCTGCGTAGACAATGGACGACAATGGCGAAGAGAGGGTGTTCAACCAAACAAGTCACAGCAATTTTCATTGTCATGTTCCTTTTTTGTTCTTTGCTTCCATCACTGCCATCCAACCAGAAAACAGTTAAAGATGATGACTTGATGACCCATGACACTCAAAAGCAATGGAATGCCTCTTGAACAATATTTTTAGCTAGCTCAGTTGTTGCGCTTCATTTCTTTGTCATTTCTTCCCAACAGAACACGTTTCATCCCACAAATGTAGCCATCTCATCATCATTGTACCGCACAACGCCTATGACCTGTGAGAATCTGCCAACAAATCCTTAGCAACCCCATGAAATACTCGCAAAAACCCATATCAATCCATATCAAGTCCTTCAGTGTGCTCAGTCCTTCATGGAAGTCCTTCAACATCCTTCAACTAGATACGCCCTTTCGTGAACAACCAACAGATCTATTACCCAGACACGACTCATCTGGGACTGCCGACTGCCGATCAAGTGAGGGGTGCTTCCAGGGGTGTCAATGGTCCGGACTGGCAGTCCCAGACGTGTCGTGTCGTGGCGCCAATGCTACCGGTCGCATCGACCCCTCGATTTCTGCCCCCCAAAAGGATTCCCCTTTTTCTCCACATCCAAACTCATGACACCTGGACCTGCACTGGACCTGCACAACAGATCCCGAGCTCCGCCTGTTTTTCTCCAAGTGTTTAGTTCCCCCCCCCAAAAAAAAGATCAAACGAATCATTCGGTGGAGGCTACCGGGCTACCGGCCAGTTCCGTGCGGCGCGTTGCGCACCGAAGCGTTCAAACAACCTGCCACCGAGCATCGCTTCGGCCGCGCATGGCTGATACTCCTGGCGTTTCCCGCGCAACGCGGCGCGCAACGCGCTCTTCCGGCGCGGACGGGACGGGTTCGAGCCGACCAGGTCGGGTGGCGGGGTCTGAGCACTGGTTGGTTCTGAGCCAGGTGGGTTGATATTCAACTGGTTGGTTGAACAGCAAGGTCAGCACTGGTTGATACTAAAGGGTCCAGCAGTCTTGGTTTGGTGTCTGCTGGCCCAGGAGATTTTGAGGGACAAAGAGAATGCACGTAGACCGACTGGAGGATCCCCTCACAACTAGTGCGAAAGCAATTGTCATCCAACTGTCCTTGTTCAGCTTGATGTTGAACGCCACCGTTGAATTTTCCATCAGGGTGTCTGCGAGTTCCTTTCGGACGTAGGTATCCTTGGCGTTGGAAAGACAAACAGATCCATTTTGGAAGAATCGTGAATCGAACAAAAGGACAACACAAAACACATTAAAGCTTTAGAAGGTCTGGAACCAAAACAAAGAGGAAAAGAACCACCTAGACCATAGTTGACCCATTGAACATCATTGAGCAACCTTCACTTTGCAAACCCATTTTGGCGAGGTTCAAGAACTTTTAAAGAGTCTGCTACCTGGACCATCCAAGGGGTGCCCTGTCTGGAAGCCCATAGGTAGTGTGGGGTAGTCCAGCCAGGACACCCCGACAGGATGGTCCTGGTATGAGTCTTCTTTTGTTTGACCAAGTGAGCTGACGGGATCGCCCGAGGACCCCGGTGGTGTGGCTTTTCATCTGGGGTGTGTATGAAACACCCCTGGGAGTCGAGGACCTCCCCGGCGTTCCGACCCTGTGGAAGGTGAAGGAAGGTTCCGACCCGTCTACGCCGGGGCGAGTTTCCGGGGGGTGACCCCATGAAATGAATGGGAAGCCAGAGATGTGGGAGGTTGGGCTGCGCATGGCACTGGCACCCCTGGCGATGTCTTTTGGATGGAGGTCCTTTTCAACACCACCTTATAGGGATTGTGCCATCTACTCTGAATCTACTGTAATCCTTTATGTGCTATCGTGTTCTCTCTGTCAAAATTCCCTTCCCTCACCGGCGTTCGTGCTTTCCCAAGTGACTCGGCCGAAGAACTCTTGGACTTGGGCCTATAGAGTTGGCGAAACCCTCTGGGAAGAAAAACACTACTCAATATGATCCCCCAACCCCCCAGGCCTGAAGAGGCTTTACAATCCATGTCTGGGGACGGGGATATTAATCAAGAGGCTACATCTACATTAGGACTTAATTCTTGACAATATTATATAAGATACATAAATTATGATGTGTGTTCACTCCATGTATTTTCCAATCAAGTGGTTGACCATCAAGTGTTGGGGATTGCTTGCTCTTCAGGGTCTTGATACAAACCAGTGACAATGACGTCCTACCTGGGCCACAAACCAGCCACTTGCTAGCCAGTCAGAGCTCCTTTCTCCCCGATGAACACCACCACCATGGTAAGAAACACTCTCCCTTGCGGTCGATGCGCGTGAACAGTCGCGTCTGCGGTGAACAGTCCGCATCAATCGCCATGGTCAGAAACAAAGAACACGTTGCCCAGACGCTCCGTGAACGACGCCCGACAGGTCCCTCAAAACCAGATGGGTTCGGAACCCCGGACCCCTCCGATTCGGGCCCCGACCGGGGTCGCGTCTGGGTGGATTCACTTCCACCCGAGGATCTGGTCTCCGGGCGTTTTTCCACCACCACCGAGTCTGCCAAGTCTACGTTCGTCGTGAATCCGAGTCTACCGACTCAACAGTTCCACCGATCTCCGTTCCAATATCCGAGATCTCCTCTTATCCTTGAACAGTTCCTACCCGGGCTCAACAGTTCCACCCCTTTGGAAGAACAGTTCTTCCTGCCCATTCCAACAGGCTCGCGGAGAGGCATGGTCCGAAGATCAGATGCGGTTCAGAAAGAAGCAAAGACGGACCGGATAGAAGGGCCCTCCCAACGAGACCACGTGGAGAAAACCGAACCTGCATGTAACCCCCAAAAACACGCGGTCACCGCTCTGTACCATGTGGATGTGCACATGTTCGTCCGCAGTTGTGCTGTAACCACCCAATCTCATGGCTGATGACCAAACACCTCCTGCCCAAAAAGAAACACATCATGGTGCTTGGAGAAGCTCCTTGTAGCTTCCCCAACAGCTCCAGCCATCTTTGTCTATCCCTCCCTCCCCCTTCGGCCCTCTTCAGGGGAATCCCCCTTCGGCGGCGATCCACGACCTGTGGAGTCCTCGCGACGGACCAAGGCACGTTCTCGATGAAGCCGAACTGCTCGCCCGGACCCCACTTGAAGGTGCCCTTCAGCGCCATGTCGCCTAGCGCCGCGAGCGCGGTGTGCGGCGCGGAAAGCCGCGCGGCTTTCGCGCGTCGTAGCTCGACGCGGAAAGCGAAGCGGACAAGAGGACCGAGCCATGGAAGTCATGGGGGCAGGTTCCAAGAACATCTCCATGTATGGTGGATATGGCATGATTATGCTGTATGCCTTACAAAATGAAACCAGCCCAATGTAGCCATAGAATTATTCCCACATATTTCATAATACATGGAGTGTCAACAAAAACCGTTCTTTCTTTTTGGGCACAGACCGTCGGACATGGTGCCGTGGAGCGATGATGCGTCAGCCCGTCTTCGCTCGCCCCGCTCGCCCGTCTTCGCTCGCGGGAGATGTTGGGGAAACATACCGCATCCACATCATCCACCAACCGTTGTACCCACCATCAATGAACTCCTTGAATGATTGATTTGGTAGTGGATTCTTTTGATGGATTTGGGGTGTGCAGGTGATCCAGTTGTCACATCATCCACCAACCTTTGTTTGGTGCAACATCGGTGATCGGACCTGGGTAGCTCCGGATGGACCCAGGACGCCGTTGGTTTTCGGTCACATCGGTGGTAGCCCGCGACCTGCAGTGATGCCAGTGGGCCCCTGGTCATTACCCAATAGGCCAAGGTAGAACATGGTACAAGCACTGGCCAGGGCCAGTCGGAACCCTTCTCCCATGCAGGGCCAGTCGGCCAGTCACCCTTCAAAAGCAACTACTTCTTGTGGTTGGAAGGGCCTGCTTCGACACTGCTTGCCGCTTTTCCTTGGCGGGTTGATCTTCGTGGTATAAATTAATAAGGAACAACTCTTGAAAACGAGGGTTGGCTCGTAACACCACAACCACCACCTATCATTATGGGACAAAAGTAATATCCAGACACGACACATGGGGCTGCCATATATGCCGCCCCATTCACCCCCCAAACCACCCCAATGTAGGCATGTATGGCATACATGGAGTGTCTGCGAATAAGAAACCCGTTATTTCAGAGATAGTCAGCCTTTGCGAGGACATTATAAACTGCAAAACCGCACGCCGCATGGTTTCTTCATGTCTCAAGAGTGCGAGAAGATGCCCTGTGTACTTCCTGCACTTCACCAATCTCATCCAATCTCTTTACTTCTCTGAAACTCACATGGAAGTGGATGGCACCCTCTCTGTATATACAGGAAAAACTGCTCTTCCAAGGGACCATGCCAACCACTTTCTCTGTGTGCAACCCCTAAAACCGGGAAACCACGACGCGCTCCGTACATCGCTGCATCGCCCCATCGCCCCGCGACCTGCTCGGGCGAGCGCGCCGCAACCGGCTTCGTGTCTCGTTCCGCTCGCGTAGCGTTGCCCGGCCTTGTGCGTTGTAGAGGCGCAAAATCTCCGGAGCTCCGCCTCGCGACCGCGCGTGCGTGGCAAGGCATCTGATGCACTCTGATCAGATTTCGAGAGGTTATTCGAATGACATCAAATTACAGGATATATCAGGATACTCATCAGAATATATTTTATATATACCCAGACACTTCATGTATGCCATATATATGCCGATGTTTATCGGATCTTGTCACACCCCAGCCCAGCACCCCAAGGATGAATGTTCAGGGACAAGGCACATGTATATCTTCCAACACTGATGGGAATGGGAGAGCGTGGTGTTTCGAGCAAGGACACCTTTCTATTCCCACCACAGACTCGGTAGAGCTGAAACATGCTGAAACTCTCTGGAGACGAAACCGCAGCTTCCGCCAGGCTCTAGAGCTCTTCTTTGTCACAGGTTGCCACCTTGTTACACGCCGGGTGTGTATAAAAATTGGGATGAGACCTCCCAGGTTCAACAGACCAAAACCCAGGCCAGGGTATCTCTCTACTAAAATACAAGCCCACGGTCGCGCGCTTGCATCAGCTGAAAACCACGAAACATGGGTCTTCCATGGGTCTTCCGGCCGTGCGACCTCCAATGGTCCAATTTCAGGTTCAACATGGTCTAACTTATTGTGTGTTTATTTTTCCAGTGAGTCAATGACTGAAGACAAGGGTGCGGCTCTGATGGGGAAACTTATGGACATGCCTGGCTCAGCTCGCATCTGACATGGCATTTTATGGAAGCTTTAGAGTCAAAGATCTTCCCACAGGACCACTAGCCCAGTCCAGGATCCTCCATGTCTTTCGGAGCTGAAGGGTTCTCTATTCTTAGGGTGGGGAGAATGGAAGAACAAGTGGCATCACTACTATCACGAGGTGCACCACGTGAACCTGAACCCAACCATTGAAGACCAGGGTCACCAGGCCCACTTTTCTTCACATGTCCATACATGTCCCCTCCCCGGTCCAACGTCCATTCAAGGTCTGACAAGGTCCACAGACATACACCCTGAAACAAACAACGCGCATTCTTAGCATGGTAAACAAATATACCACACGCGCGCATGGAAAGAGGTTCATGTTCTGCATCCAACACGATCACCCTGGACCCGGCCCGCACCATCCCGCATGCACAACACGACCGTTCCGACCAAAAGCACTAGCGGCCAAAGCACTGGCTTGTGGCTGGCCCCGTGTATTCCAATGAACCATAAAGGCCACGGTATCGCCCACCTCGAAACGGTTTCTTCACCAGGCCCCATGCCCAGAATCATGGTTCTGATCCCGGATTTGGACAGGTACCAAAGCTCTGATTCTTTAGTTTCACTTGTTCTGACTGGCAGTCACACGCTATGATGTCTGGCAATCACATGATGAGTTGCCACATTTTAGGCTCAAAGTTGCAGTCAGTGGGTTGGTGGCAGAAAAACACTACGGAAGAGTGGGTTGGTGGCACTCTCGAGATGAGTGTCGTTATTGCACCTGAAACCTTCCCCAAAAGTCAAAGCTTGTTTTGATGCAAACATCACCCATGGTGACGAACTGGAGAAAACCCTGGAAAAAGTCCCGAGAAAAATCTGACATGGCGAATGTTTAAAAGCTTGGCTGTCCCATCAATTCAAGTTCCATCGATTCAAGTGTTTTACCATGGCGCATGTCACAGCCCAAGGGACCAAGGGGTTCAAGCTGGCCTTCCCAGCACCCCCAACTCCCCCAGCTGATGGGACTCTGCAAACTTTGTTGCGTTGGCCGTGGGGAGGGGAGAACCAGATCCTGAAGGCGAAGCTGTTGACTCGATCGAACACTTTGTTTGCATGTCATCCTACTTAGAAGACCATTAGACTAGTTTACTATATATTTAATATGGTTTGCACAATCATTCTTGATGAAAAGGCTCCACTCTTAAACCACGTCTGTTCACTGGGATATACATTCCAAGATATTCCAAGTAGCACATTGGAACAAATAGACCACGGATGCCGGATCCAACATCTGGACTGTCCAGACAGAACGGACCTTCTCACGTTCTCACGGTCTCACAGATCCAGTCCTGAAGCTTCGCCTTCATGTCCTCCCACCATCCTCCCACCCTTTGGCCAACCACCTCCACCCAACCACGTCCGTTGCCCACGTCCGAAACGCACGCACGCACGCCGGCGGCGGCGACGGACGGGCGCCACGGCACGGTGGCGCCGCAGGACTCCAGGACGGTCTTGTAGACATAGACTTCCTGGAGCGGAGCGAGTCGCGACATCGACCACACCAGTCCGGACGGCCAGAGAGCCACGACGCGAGACGTCTGGGACTGCCAGTTCCGGACGGCCACGACACGGGAAAACGCGTCTGGGGGTGGTGGACTGGGGGGTCGACGTTGTGGGGCAGTCCGGACTGGCAGTCCCAGACGCGTCGTGTCTGCCGTAGGACTGCCGCCGATCCAGAGGCATACCGCCAGTCAATGGACCCCCAATCAATTGATCGGCATACCCCAAACCAGAACCACCCCAAATTGACCGATATAGCGAATCCGTTGGATCGCGGAGGAATGGCGGACAGTGCGCTGTGACCCTCACACGGCTTGTGCGCCCTGTGGATTCCATCCGTTTTGAAAACGAGGCAACATGCTGATATCGGAGAAAAAGGAGAATGCCTGATACGAGAGAGACATGTGGCTTGGTTGATGATTCTCTCATGCAAGGGTGAATGAGGGTGAATTTATGCGAATGTCCACCCCCTTCAATCATCCAATAAAATGGTATACATGTTTTCATGATGGCTCATGGAAGGTCCATGTTCTCGCGTACGACCCAGCAGGCTTGCTCTGAGCAAGTTCCATTCTCGTATATCATCCATATAGAACTTGAGTGACCCCTGTTTTGGAGCTCAACACATGGTCTTTTCAGACCCAAAACAGCGGCCTGGGTCAACCCAAAACGGCGCCCCACTTCCGCTCTCCTCCCCCTTCCACCTTCACCGTGCGGGGGGTTCCCGCGCGGACCTGACCGCAAAGCGCCCAACATTCGGGGCAGGAGATCAAGCCATTGCTCTTCTCCAGATTGTAGGTCCTCACGAAAAGCTTCCGCAGCTTCCACACCGCCCAAAGCTGAAGGGCACGACGCAGCACCGAAAACGATGACGCTTCCGCACGGTGCGAACGAGAACAGCTGGGTCCTTTGCCTGATCGGTCTCGGACCCAGGATCTGAAGGAAAGTGGTTCGTTGCGATGCAGCAAAGGTTTCGACGTAGAGTGATTCGCGTAGACTGGTGCCACAATGAGGAGTTCAGTAGGGAGCTATTCTCGAAGTCTCCCACTTAGAAATGAGGACACAGGCATACACATGCCAAGACCAAGGCCAAAACCGCCCAAACCTGCTCTTTTGCATTTTAAATCCTCTAGACTCTAGGGACTTCACAAACGTCGCGATTGAGATTTCAAGCGGGTGTTCAACGAGGTGACGCTTTCGTGATGTTCTCTTGCAGTGCTTCGGTACACCGCGGAACACGTGACACTGTGCGTTTTCGTATGAGTGCCCTCACTTACAATGCAACAGTCGCATTCACATTGAGACACTCCATGGGACCGCCATATATGCCGATCAATTGGGGTGGTTTTGGGGGTCAATGTAGGCATATATGGCATACATGGAATGTCTGGGACATACAACCTTGCAGCATGAAAACAGGACAACATGTGCGGGCGAAAAACCGTGCAGTCCGCAGTCTGTTCTGGCAGGAACTGTCATACCCTGCACCCGATGCTGTTTGGAGGGATTCAACTTTCCACTTCCCTTCTTCCAGGGAGTGTACTTGCTTCTCGGTCTTGTGCCGGTGCGGTCTTCCTGTGAATCTCACCAGCACCGAGGGTTCAGAAGCGCAGTCCTCACACGCCCGACAAAAGCAGGTTCACCTGCAGCAATCTTGTTTGCCACCTGCAAGAAGAGGTGTGCGCAATAGCTGAAGTCTCGAAAAGCACACCCCAAATGGCTGATGTCAAACAATCATAATACTTTAACTGGATGACTACTTAGCAGGCACATGACAAACTGCTGGTGTACCAGACTCTGGGGCCATCTATGAATCGATGCATGGATTTGGTCTGTGTAGCCCGGCACTCTTCTCAACTCGTATGAACATCGAGTCTCAGTCCTCATAAGGGATACATATACCGCGTATATAATGCATATGACAATCTTATTCATTGGCTGGCTTGATACCGATACTGGAACCCACTGCCAACAATATATTCTTCTAGCAAAGGTGCCGCGTGAGATACTTGGACAAACTGGGTGCGATGTCGTGCCCCGCTGAAGCCAGCAATGCCTCGCTTCCCAAATCCCTGCATATCCCACGATATTCCTCGTGACTAAAGCTTGGGAGGTAACGTGAGCCGGGAAATGACGTGAGCACAAACGGCCACGTTGGCAATGGGTTGGTCTGTGCTTCCATCTATGGCACAGAACCCTTGAGACTTGGTGCTGTGATGTGCTGTGCCATGGCACTGCTGGCTGGCCAAACTGGCTCCTTCTGAAGAGCCGGGACCACAGAAAAACAACTGTATTCCGATATATATATATATATATATGTATACCGCAGAAGGTACCACTCGTTGTTTTTTGGATGGTTTATTACAGTGGTTTCAGAGTAGATGGCACAATCCCCAAAAGGTGGTTTGTATGGACCCCAATATAAAGGACATCTTTGGGTTGGTACCATCTACTCTGAAACCAGTATATTGGCAAAAACGTGAGCCACCACCAAGTGCGTGTGCCTGGAAACGGGTCGGTCGGCGGCCGTAAAGCCAAGTTTGGAAGGGACATCGACCGAAAAACCGACAGTTTACAGCATCGGTTTCAGGCTGTTTCCTGGCAAAAGCTTCACATGGAGAGGTTTTTCATCGTTTTTCACTTCGCAAACCAAGAAGTTGCTCCCCAAGCGGACGTCCGCGCGAAAAGAACGCCATGCCTTGTCATGCCGCGACGCGCCACGTCCGGCGCGCGCGCGCGGCCTTACCCTTGCCTTTCACCGGCGTGACAGACTTCCCCTGGCCCTTGCCTTTCCCCTTCCTGGTCGTGCGACGAGCAGGCTGAGCCCTACACAGATCAGTCCAAGGGTTCGGAAGGACGTTGGTTCTCAGGACAAAACCGCTGGGATGTATTAGGTGGATCAACAGGTTCTGAAGCAGGATGCAGGATGCAGGTGAGATAGAGAACTTGGTGAGATGAACTTCCAATATATCATAATATATCCTTTCAGAATCCGTTTGATTGGCTGGTGATTTCAACTGCTTTGTGGCTGTTCGATCCAAGAAGATCTCCTGCCTGGGGTTCTCTGCCTGGGGTTCGACCCCAATTTCTTGCAAGGAGGAACTGCAGGTTGGGGAAACTATGCAACACATCGTCAGTCCTACTCTGGTGGAAACCTCCCGCATGCTGTCACCCACTGGCCAGGCAACAAACTCCAACAAATGCACCAAGTGGAACGAGAAACCAGTTACCAAAACGAAGAAACCTTGACCCAGTATCTGCCACCTCACTTCAGCCGCAAAATGCTTTTGAGAGATCTTCATTGGAGCAGCCACCTGTCCACCTCAATATCATGGCCTCGATCAGATACATACTAACGGGGGTTGAAGGAGATCAATGGATCACCTATTTGCTTTGAACTCCTATCCACCCTGGTTATTGCTACCCTACAAGTAAAACAACCTGAACAGCCTGAGCTTCATGACAGCTCAGCTCTGGGCTCTCAAAACCACGTGCTGATGATTTTGCCCTTGCTGCCCTCCTTTCTCCGGTCCAGGTCCCGGTTTTGGGGTGCAGCTGTGGCTCATCATGGCCGCCACGGCACTCATCATCTCGCCCTGCCGAAGAACACCATGCGGAGCCATCGGCAGTGGGTAAAAAGGCCCGGGGAGACCCGGTCGTGGACCACCGATCGATACCTCTTGCGCACAGGTCCCGCGCCACGAGTCTCGGCGCTTCCCTTTCAGGGGTACCGGGGTGGACATGTAAGGCCTATGAAGAGAAAACCAAACCGAAAGCAACAGGAAACCAAAAAAGCAACAGAACATGCCGCCGGCGCACCCAAAAACCACCGGAACGTGGACATGGGAGGTCGCCCTGCTGGCGACGTGGGGCGGCCGATCCACTGGGCGAGAAGTCGATCCACTGGTGGGTGGAAGGCGCACACTTCGCTCCTTTCACACAGATTCACGTCTGGTGTGTGACTGGGAGACTGGGAGACCTCCCAGTTTGATTTGCCTGGAAAAGGATCAACAGCAACCCATCCCTCTTAAAATACGTACATACCCACATTATCCAAACAACGCTTGACATTCCGACATGGATGCCCAACTCAAAATGGCCATCTTCCTGAGTGCCATCTGCCTGAAATCGGCAATCATTTGTCTGTTGGAAAGCCAAACACTCAAAAGGTCAACACCAATCGAGGAATCAATGCCAACTTGTGAACCATCTCAAGTGACGCCAGTCCTCTCTTGGGAAGTACTCCTGAAACTGAAGTTCCATCGAAGGAACCCGAAGAACTCATGAAGACTTGATGTTTTCTTCGTTTCTTCTTCAGGACATCACTGGGTGTTCGAGTGACCAGGAGTGGCCTGCCTGCCCAATATATCATTCCAAACTGCCTCGTACCTCGTGTCCGACCCAAGTCCCAAAGACCTCCACACGTCCCTCGTGTCCCCGGACAGTGTCCCGCACCCATCCCGCGCGCGCGGCGCGGTGCTTTCGGCCCCGAGGGCGCCTTATTGCCGCCCTTGGCCCCCTTGACTCCCATGGCTCCCATCTTGCCTGCGGCGAGCGGATCCGCCACTCGAGCGCAGAACGCAAAGGACTTGGATGAGGAAGTGGATGGAAAAGGTGATGAGTCATGAGCTTAACACAGGAGTTTCCACAGAACAAGAACAGCCCCAGGGGCAACGCAAAACATGGGAGTCCTGTTGATGTTTCCATCTTTTTCCTTTTAAAGCAATTCTGAGATTGGTCAATCTGAGTTGATGGAAGGTGTACCTTCCATACCTTCCAAAGATTCAACTATAAGGAGTCTATATATCCATGGATCTGGGAAATGTCCGCAGGAATCTGTGGAACTCTGCACCTATTCCTGGAGCGGAACACGGCAACGTTTAGAATAACATCTCACTCCACACGCGCGTGGTTCTGCACTGATACAACACGTATACTTGAAGGATCGAAGGATGGGCAACATGCTTCTTCCAGGCGATCCGGCAGAACCCCAAGTGCTCCAAATGTTCCATCTTCCATTTTCACTATCCAGGATGAGTTAGTCATGAGATGTCATGAGTCTACGTAATTTGTTGGTTTCTACGTGGCCATCAACCGCAAATCTCCGCTAAATCTGATGCCAGCACCATCAAGATCAGCACCTACGACACGAAGAGCACATACAGTAGTTTGCTGAACAATTAAGGGGTTGAGCAAGTTGACATCCATGGAAGAAACATGAAGGAACTGCTACACTGCTTGGCGTATTTTCAGAACTTCAATCGCAGGAAATCCCAAAGTGGTGCCAGAGTCTATTCTTGACAAAGGGTCTATCCGGATGTTGAAATACACCAATTGGGCAGATCAGAATCGTTGCAAGAGTCGATGATGAATTGATAAAGACCCTGAGAAAACCTGCTTGGTGGTTTCAACTTGAAAAATATGAGTGAGTGTCAATAATCCCAAGTAAAGGTAAACAAAACAACAATATCTGACACCACCACCTGACAAAGTTGGTCCATAGCACAAAAGCTTAGCGACTGTTGGAGTGAGTAAGGCTCACATCTCCACCCTTCATTCAGCACCTCCTGGCATCATGCCCTTGCTGGGTGCCATCTGGCGCCGAAGAAGACCGGCAGAACGAGAGCTGTGTCAAAGCAGTGGCTTGGGGGTAACTCCTGACCTTTTTTGCTTGAACAACAACAGTCCAATGCCTGGGGACTCATATTCTATCATATTCCTATCCAAGTCATGCTTGAGAACACGGTCCCTGGTTCGCTGGCTGGCCTCCGCCCTGCGGTGGGACAGGTTAGAGGAGAAGATGTGGCACATGTGGGTGTGCATGTCAAATTACTTTACTAGGGAGACACTCAACCAATAGGTGTTTGTCTATTATGTTTCTTCCAGAGAGGTCTCCCTAGTTTAATACTCACCCATGCGACATGTCGCTGATGATCGTGGATCTGGGTTGCAAGACCAGCTGACAGAAGCCATGGACTCAAAAAGTTGCGAAGACTACTGTTGCCATCGGTTGCCATTGTAACCCCTTTTGCTCATCCCCGAAAAAACAAGTCTTGTGCAGTGCTTTGGCCTTCTACTAAACATGACATGAAACAAACTTTGGCACTGGCTAAAGCAACACAAAGAAGCAAACAAACAAATGACACTAACTATATATAAAAACTGACACTGACACAAAACAACGCCAAATCAACCCAACCCACCGACCAACCCACACACCAACACACCAACCTACCAAACAACAAACAAGCAACCTGGAAAATGACAACAGTGTTTCGAGGGTGAAGTGGGATTATTTGCGGGCTGCTTTTTGAGTTCCTTGAACGCCTTCCAAAAGTATCCGACTGCAATCCTGTACATGGGGGGAACCAAGACATCATAATATTGGTTTGGTGCCTTTCTTTGAGATTTGCTTGACAAAAAACTGGGAACATGCCACTCATGTCACCCTCGTGTTGGAGTACTTCCCTTGTGAAACTCGTCATTCTGAGTACAAACCTCCCAAACTCACGACCAGCAGCTTCGCTTTTGTACCCATGTTCTTTTGTACATAGGTCCCAGCTTCACAGGGCCTTCACCAGGCCTTTCACAGGGGATCTGGTGGTTCTACCTCACAGGAGGATCCTGTTCACCACTCGCCCCCCCGGATCTGCGTCCCCAGTCGGCCGAGTCCGAAACAATGACCAGACGGCCTGACCCTTCATCATGGCACCCTGAGTCCCCCGGTGCTCTGAAAACCGACGCAAGCACACAAGCCAAGAGAAGTGAACCGCCGAACCAACGAGAAGCACAAGCTAATTACATATATATATATATATATGTTTTTCTTTTTTTTTTTTAAATGGTTTTCCAGGGTTTTCCTGTAGCATTTCATCTGGCACTTCTGGGAGTTGTTTTTCTTTTTTTTCAAACACGATCGACGCCATCTTTCATTGCCCAGTTTCAGCCATTCCACTCACGGCAAGAGGCTCTGCGATGTTTCCCCCGTTTGGATGTACTAAACATCCGAAGATCTGATGACAACATGACAACACGTTCCCCTCTACCACAAAGATCAACTATGTTAGACTATGACATAGCAAACTATGACACACTTCTTTTGCCTTGGTTCAGCAAATTAGAAGGGTCTTAGCCCAGCTAACGATGACAAACTATCGCAAAACAATTGTGTTCGTCCGTTCTACGCTCCAAGTTAACATGGAATGTGGAGTGAAAACTACCTGGGCCACATGAATGAGGAACAAAAGACCCAACGGCATTCAACGGCATGAAAAACAGCAGCACACGCGGCTTGCCATTGGGCACCAAACATCTTCCTTGGGCCACCTGAGTGCCTTTTCTTGCCATTGGGTTGACCCTCGGTTTGGGGCTCAGGTGCAGCAATCCTGCCACAATCGGTTTGGTGATCGAGACTGAAGAGTTCCAATGAGTCCTCAAGAAAATTCAAGAAATATATATATATATACATATAATATATATATGTATATGTGTAATTATATATATATATATTACTACAAAAAATGGTGGGATCCCTCAAAGCGACACTCCTTGACCCTCTAATTTCTTTATCCAAATGGCCACTTTGATTACACACACAAAGCCACTCCATGCCAATCCACCGCGCCTGGCCCATCATCTGGGGCAATCCCAGCGCCTGGGCCATCTGCGGCGAAGGTGCGGGCATCATCTGCGCCATCTGCGGCACCTCCGCGTGGTGAACCAGGTAGGGAGTATGGAGCATGGAGGAGATGTTGAATGAGTAGAGGCTTGAAATGGATGACTCGCTGATTAGAATGGATGGCGAGATGGATGGATGGGTGGGGTACTCACTCCTCCATGTAGATATTTCAAGAAGGTTCAAAAAGAGTCTGTGGCAGCTTTGGGACAGGTGAAAGACTCCACCGACACGAGGACGGATAAAGCTTTTGTCACCTAGTTCCAAGTGGTGTTAAAGACACACAAATTCAAACCATAACTGCTTTAAACAGTTCTAATAGTGCATGGTTTACAAATTCAAAACGTGTGGTGTTTGAGTTCTAAAGTTTCGCCTCAAATTCACATCCCTGGGTTGTGGATGAACCTCTGTTTTCAGGATCTGGTCATAGGTGTGTGGGCTTTGAACATCCCAATAGAGGTCCTGTGAGCTGTTCTTTTCCAAACTCTCCAATCGAAGATCTGATCATCATCGAAAATATGTATGATCCGATGTTGGTCATGTCCGGGTTCCTTGTGCTTTGGACATTCCCGCAGATTGCTGGAATATCCTGACATTTGATGATACATTATATCATTGTTTTGTTCAAGAATGCCACCAAGAAGATAGAACCACTGGAGCACAAAGGGTGCTATGTGTTCCTGTGAAAGCCTTGCATTCCCGCACACACACACACACAATTTAATTTTATACATGAACATACCCATGGCATCCCACGGCAGTCATTTTTGTGCGTGAATAGTTTTCTGCATCACCAGCAAACACCAAACAATCCCAAACACTCCATGGGACTGCCATATATGCCGATCAATTGGGGTGGTTTTCGGGGTCGGATCTTCCTACCGGAACACCCGGTCTTTCTTTTCAGAATGAACAGAATAGACGTCCGGACGGGCACCAAGCAACCTACCAGGGTTTGGGTGAGTTCTGGTCCACCAGTTCTTTTTGACCCACAGCCACGTAGGTTCGCCCTTCATGGCCGTACGGTTCGCCCTATGTGCCAGAAGGTAGACCAGTATCAACATGACGACATTTACAAGTTAAAAGAATGTTGACCTATGTACAGAACACAGGATATTCACAATCCCTCACTGCGAATTATGAATTATTGAGGCCACTCAGTCGTCGAACGACATGTGCTCAAGGTTTTGTTTATTGCGGAGACACTTCTTTATGCGCTGGTACAATCCGTTGCGATCACGAAAAGGTATATCTTGATACGGGGCTTTTAACGGATCCGCTCGAGAGACAAGTGGAGTTGGCAATCGAACATGATGTGGATTGCCCTGTGTGGGCAAAGAAGCGTAATCGCGCAAAACCAAGATCAATTTTTCGGCATGAGGCAAGATATGCAAGATTGGACGCAATGCTATTCCTCCTACCAAATCAATATGGTCGCCCAAAAAACTGGACTCTCATCACCTGCGCAGGAAAAAAACAAAAAAAACAATCTCAAGCTATCACCCTCCACACCCTTTTTCAGCTCAGCACCCTCCACCCTTTTCAGCTGCCCCCCATGCTCCCGAACTCCCCCCCCCAGCGACCTGCTGAACTGGCCGCCCGCCGCCGAGGCCTGGAGGCGAAGGTCGGTTGGTCTATCGGTCCCCGACCTGTCGGACTGCCAGTGAGGGAGTGGTCGGTCAATGGGGCGGCAGTCCTGGCATCAGTCCCATAGAGTGTCTGGGTATTGTGCTGATTTTCCTATGGCTGATTTTCCTATGGCTGGCATCCTATGGCCTATTCATGCCTATTCTCATTCTTTTAAACATCGTTGGATGCTGATGGAAGGGGTTGACCTACATGAGGTGGCCGAGTCTCTTCTAATTTTCCAATGAGCCCAGTCTCTCCTATCCTATTTCTATTGGCCAGTAGACTCCCTGAAATCATCATGGTGGAATTGGATGGCCTCGAGGATGACCATGAAATCACATGAACATCCGAAGATCAAACAGGTGGCGAACTCCATGAAGCCATGATCTGTGACAGTGTATACTTGCATAAAAACACCGAGCTAGCTTGCTAGCTTGCTCTTGTGAAACAAAAATAAGGTCGCCATGCGCGTAGCTTCCATGCGTCGCCCTGCCCGTGCACAAACATGGTGTTCAAGGTGTGCGACCCGGGTTGACCCCGGGTCCAATGGGTGTGTCATAAAGCAGGAAGACCTGGAGTCCACCCCTTGGGGCGCCAGGGGGTCTCCATGGGTCTCCCGATTCAAATACAGGCCCCCAAAACCACAGATTCCTCCTATCTTCGGGATCTCAACCGAACGCATGCTTGGACCGTGGAGTGGAAGAAAGCGTGAGAAGACGCCGCCACCCGAGAAAAACTGCTGACGGTGGACGGGTATATCTAGATATTTACCAACAGTCGACTGAGGGGGCATGGAGTTGGAGCTGGGAGCTATTTGAAGCCTTCCAGCACCCTGCGGGAGCATGCGGGTGCTGGACTTCCAGCACCCTGAGGCAAGGCGGGGGGGGGTAGCGTTCCGGCATCCGAAACCTGGCAATCTTTTGAAGGCGGAGTTGCCCTTCAAAAAAGACTTGCGGACAGGTACACTACAGTTACATCCAACTGTAGATGTACCTTATCAGCTGAAAATAGCTAGAATATATATATATATATATTATATATATATATCTAGAATTATGTTTTTCCTTGAGCCTCAGGGGATGTACCCAGAAATTAGAGGAAATTGCAGATCATAATCAATAGAAGCGGAGGGTATTTTGATGAGAACCAGGTGTGGGCCTATTGTCCGCCCATAGTATACCTGGGATTTAGATTGGTTTCACTCTCCCTCAAATCTGTCCAACCACGTCAAACCTCAAAATGTCGACAGCTGATTTCCACCGCTACCAAGCCTGGAGATGTCAACCCCTTCGCCGATTCGGGGCGCTCTTCTGTGACAACTGCTTCATCACCAATACCGAGGACTGCCCAGCTGATTTCCAACTCCCTTCGGTCTTTGGGTCTACAGGTCTCACACATCGCCACTGCTGGCGCCGCCCCAGCTCCACCCACCTCTTGCGGCCATGGCAGCCATGATCGACTGCAGATCCATCGCGCTCCTGGGACGTCGAAGCTCCGATCCGCAGCAGAGCCGGTCGAGTCCGAGGTCGGGGGTTCGACCGGACGGACTGGACCTCGGTAGAAAGACCAAGAGCCCAAACGCGACCCTGGACCCTCCTAAGTAGGAGCCGTAACCTCTGGAGGGTTCCGAGTCCGGATCCTCAAATCCCTATGGTTTTGAGGGACCAAGGACTGTTTGGAGCGTCTGGGAGAGACAGAGGTCGGTCGGTGTCGGTCGGTGTCTTGTTTCGTGGCCTTTTGCCCAGCCGCACCTTTTTAGGCGGAAGCCGCACCTTTTTGCTTGAGCTGGTTGTATGAATCAGGAACATGTGGAACGCGGATCCGGAAGTCAACGCAGTTTCACCATAATAGTTTCACCCACCGGGTTCTGATGGAGAGGTTCTGGGATCAATATGGATCAATGGTGCTGCACCGCATGCGCACAGCCCCAGTGCAACAGTGTCTGAACCTTCCGGCTTGAAGAAGAACCCAAGAATGAGCACCTGCTCGACCGAAGAAGCTGAAACACAGGCGAAAACCTCCAGAGGTGCTGAACAGATCGGGGTCCTGAAAAAACAGAACTTGGAACTTGGGGACTGTGCGGTTTAGGGTTTAGAGTTTCGTTAACTAGCCAGTACCAGTACCAGGTCTACTCTGAAACCTCTGACAGTTGTAGTTCCCACCTCTTCAAGCAAACCGGTGCTCTCTTCGATACCTTCCTGATCCAGCTGAAGGATCCAGCTCTTCAGCTCAGCGTCCAGCGGCGGGTCCGACCAAAAATGTATTTTTAAATATCCTGCTGACCCTGCTGTTTTTTCGTACACTGACGACTCCATTGCTTATTGTTTTTATTGTTCTCCTGATGCTCTTTTGATTGCTTTCCTGTGGCATGTCTTGTTCATGAAAGCCAGTAACAAACTCCACATTTCATGGCAAGCAAATCTAATTTGTTTTGATATGTGTATACGGGAGCTAATGCATCACCCATAAGCTGTTGCTGTTCCGCTGAATTGGTTTTCATCCGTCTAAATGTGTATTTAACTCGGGCCAAAACACAGCAGGTGGAGTGTTGGTTCATGCACGTGGTTCTCGAGTCAGAAGAGCAGCTCCGTTTCTTGGTTTCAACCTCATTCGTGAAATTGGCACAATTACACAGAAGAGAGCCTTTACCGAAATCAATAATTGGCCAATTGAACCTTTTATCCAACTCTAGTCTTTTGTCGGACCCGCCCAGTGCGCACCCTGAAATCCGGGTTTTCCAAGAAATGCCCCCAAAAGAGCCCAACATGTTTTCAAGCATGCTTTTCCATGGCAACTACTCCTGCCCAGGTCCGTTGCTTCTTCATCGACAGCCCTCCCAATGACTGCCGGGCGGACCAGGTGCGCCATCAGCCTTGTCCTTGCCCGGCCATCGTCCCTTGATGGAGTACCTGCTCGGCTAGCTTCCGGGAACTGGCGCCAAACCGCTCGGTTGCAGAGGTGAACTGGGTTGCTGAGGTCGCCCAGGCTAAAGCGGACGTGATCCTTTTCTCGAGACGTGTGTGAAAATCGTGTGCGTTTCACGTCTGTTTTGGGTTTGTTCTTGGCCCACATTTGGAAAACCGTGGATGTGATCACATGTTCTTCTTGAGCTTAATTTAGGTGTTCCCGCCGTGTTGGTGTTTGGCAGGGTTGGCACATCAACATCGAAATACAGTAAAATAAGGGGACGGCATCGACGCCCCCATTCGCCCTATTCTTAGCACCACCCCGCCAGGAGCGTCTGGGTGTGAGATCCCTAAGTGGGCTGGGTAGTCCAGCCAGGACACCCAACATCGATGCTCCTGGTATAGGTATAAAAATGGATGGTTTGGGTCGGTGCTCTTTTCGATCGTTACAACCATCTGTCACCACTGCTGGAGACCACACCAGCGGGCGAAGCGACAGCGCACGCGCTCGGGCTCTTCATAGTGACATTGCCTCAATGGCGCATGACGAGGCGAACCGGCCAGATCTGGGTTGGATTCAATGGCTGGGACCTAAAAAGAGAAGCAACATGAACCAAACAAATTTCACTCATTGGTCTGGGGTACACCACATTATTGAGCTATGCAAACATGCCCAAGACCCAACGACAAGCAAGCACGAGCTTGCAATGAGCCAAGACTTGTTCACTGAGCAAAGGCACTGCTGGACTACTGTTGGGAGAAACGTGGCAAATCTTGAATAACTCACAGCAAGAACACTTCACTTCCAGCTGCATTTCCATGTCAAACATAATGTATTAATTAATGTTTATATCATATTTTATATCCAATATTATCAAATAACGCCCGCAGAAAAACCGAGCATCCCCCCCGCAGCCACAATGGTCCGTTCAAGTCATCAAAGCTGGTCACCCAAACCTACGACATTTGGGTACCAAACTGCAACCCCTGTCTCCTGCAGCTCAGCTTTTCTGCTTACAACTCACCAGGAAGCTAACCATCATGACTCATGACTTCAATTTGTTTCAAGCAAGGAAAGGAAGAGAAGGCAGGAAGGCAGGAAGGTGGGAAGGCAGGAAGGCAGGCAGGCAGGAAGGAGGGAAGGAAGGAAAGGAAGGAAGACCTTACTGCATTGACCTTCCCAGCCTCTGATGGATCGATCTTGCCAGCGAGGCTGCTAAGTGCCATTCGTGGCAGATCTACGTAACTATGTTGGTCTCCGAGGTGAAATTGTGGTCCAACCATGACCAGCATCACTATGTTGCTGTGCTCTTGATTGCTTGGAGGAAAGACCACAACATCTAAGACATGTCTTGGAAAATACCAACGAGTCTCCTCTCTGGGAGGCCCTCCGGAAAAAGCTGCTAGTCGCCCTTTCCGAGAGAAGCCTCCGCCCTCCGCCCCGAACCGCCTCCGCCCCACCCGAACCGCCCTCTGTTAAGGCCGACAAGAGTCCGATCAAGGTCGTGGGGATCTCATACTGCCCAGGTCCAGGTGTCTTCGACACCACCATCTTGGCCCTGGGACGGTGGTTCGGGGCGTTGAACATGGGACGAGTGCTGTGTGCGGGGGAGCGTGTGTGTTGTGCTGCTGCAACGCGTGAAAGCCAGCAAACGCAGGAAAGATCTGGGGCGTGTCTGGTCCCGACTACTTTGAAAGCTTAAGAACGTCCTTTGGAATCAATCAGCTGCAACCAAAGGCCCGGTGGTGCGAACCTTTCTCTCTCTCTCTCTCTAATCGACCGAGCAAGGGTGGGAGGCAGGCACTTGAATCTGTCTTCGCAGCGGGTGGACCTCTTTAGACGGCCCGACAGCTTTAGGCGGCCCGACAGGTCCCTCAAAGGTCCGGGGATTGACTCCCGACCGGGTCTCCTCTGGGTGGGTCCATCAACCTACCGGACGGGTGAGTTCTTTGGGGCGCCAAAGGGCGTGGTTTTTTGGACCCGGCATGGCAGAGTGGCCAAAGGGAGCATCCTTGCAAATGGAAAAACTATGGGCAACCAAGATTCGGCGGTGATGGCAACCTATTGGGATCTGCATTGGTCTTGTCCAATCAAGGCACTTCTGTGGTCAGGTTCCTGGGAACGTCCTCGCACCAAGAGACCTTGCTACAAAAGGCCTGCGCAGAACAGAAGGACAGGCCACCTCTGCAAGGCTCCGCAAACGGAGTGTGTTCTATCAAACATTTGGATGTGCACTCTGGGGGAGGATGCGCCCCGTGCCTGTTGGACGCACCAAAGCCAATGCTGGGCGCCGACCTCACATTCAGCCCGGGTGCGTGCCAAACAGATGGGCCAATGGATGGATCTAATCTCCACCCCAGACCATCCATGTATGGAAAGATTACTGCCCCAGGGATCCAGTCGTAGCTTCTCAGGTTCGGTACGACTGGATCCTGCTGGCACCTACATAACAGTGTCGAACACATCACCTTCTCAGAGGGTAGCAGTGGATCCAGGTCTACAATCCCAATGTACTTCTGAAGATTCTCAAGAATCGATACGATTTCCCTCTGTGGCTGAAGCAGTTGGGGTGGTTATCAGGCGATGAAGCAGTCAGACGGATCCATCGCCGAGTGGTGACATGGGGTGAAGGATCCAGAGTCCTGATGTCGTAATGACTACCTTCACCTTCATTACGGTCACCTGGCTGGAAGCCCCACGACCGATAGGGACCGCCAGGACACCCCGAAAGAAGGTCCAGGTATAATATATATATATATTAATTATAGTATAGTACATAATTGTAAGTTAATTTAATCATTCAATGGAACCGAACTTGTCTTCATGATTGCAGCAAACATCAGATATTTAGTTACTAATTATATATACCTGAACCCTCCGTCGTAGCAGAAAAAAGTGACAGAAAAAAAACTGCACATCATCAAAAAAAGTGTTCATGCCTTGAAAAAGCGTACCACTGGAAAGTCAGATGTAGCTTCATTCCACCTTATGTGGTCTTCAAGTCCATTCCCCTGCCACATGCTGGCACCCATCCCATGCACACACAACACACGCTCACACACTACGAAGCGGCAGCCAGCAACCCCTTTCTTTGATCATCAGTATCAACATAAAATATTTACAGTAAGTAAAATAACAATCCGCCACTTTTTAAAATTGCGCCCGGGTTGCGGGAATTTGCGCCCAAGTTGCGGGCATCCTTTTTGGAAAAATTGTTGTAAAGCACGCCCAGAAGGTTGGAACCAAACCTTTGTGGTTTCATTTGCACATACTACTAGTAGGAGGTCATATAGAATTTCCACCCGGTCCATAGGGCCCCCAAAGGCCCACAAGGGTTGATAAGGACACTGGTCAGGAACCCGTAGGCTTTAGAATTTACATCACCAAAAAGCGCTCAAAAGTGCTGAAAAGTGTACATACCCTCAATTAACGCTCAAACTTCCAATAAGTGCTCCAAACCATGGTTCGCCAGAAATAAGTGCTACAAAGGATGCTTCATGTATATATTATATATATATAGGTCTGTGGATCCAGTCAAGAAAAACCGTAGAACCATACTCCTCCACTCAAGAGCGGTCCATTCATCGCTGACCCCCGACAAAGATCCCCCATCAAGCAACCCCTGCAACCACCCTTTTTCCCGTGCAACCCGACTTCTCTCCGGTCTTTTTGACATCCGCTCCCAATTCCACATCCGCCCCAAGCTTCGAAGAGTCCATCGGAGTGTCGTGAAACGTCGTGTCGGGGCGACCCTTGCGGCCCAAGGTGCCCATAGTTGGAGGTCGTGGTCCAGCTGGGTGTGAAGGCGCCCGGCCCGGGCAGGGTGCCTGTCAGGCCCTTGCCTCGGTGGTGTGAGGCCCGAGGCATGGGTGAGTCATCTCAACAGGTCGGGTGGGTAGAGCACCGGAGGGGGTAAAGCACCGGAGCCGGGTCTGGGAAGTGTTCCGTTGGGGGGAATCCTTTGGGCCTTGAAACAGGATGGGCATCGGATTCTGGGTCGTCCGAAGCAGGTCTTTTTGGGAGTGGCTTCTGTAGCAAATGTGTTTGACTTTTTTTGGGGGTGGCTTTTGCGGTGTGAGAAGCGTAGTGCTTTTCAACGTGGGGGTGGAGCTTTGGACCAAATGGAGAGTGGCTCAATGAACTATTCGGTTTTGAGAAGAGTATGGTGGGACTCGGGCTTGGGGTGGCTCGGACAGTTGAAGTAACCTCATGACATGGCATGGTTTACACTGGTGGCCCCTCAGCAAGTTTCTTCACTGGCTTACAACCACTGGACACGGCTTTGTGTAAAGTCTTCAAGAGGCCTTGGCAGAAACTGTGCATGGCGAATGAGCCTGGCAGGCCTGGCAGGTGCTTTTCTTGGTGGCCCTCAGTTTCCCAGAATCTCTCCACCAAGAAGCTCTCCGGCTTGCTGCAAATGGAGACGTCTCTGCCTGCCACGAAGCATTGAAATTGGGGGTGTGCGGCCAACGAACAATGGATTCCTGCCACACGCGACGAGGCCCAACGAATGGGCCGTTTCATCGGTCTCGTCTGTGCCGTTCTTTCTGCAGTTCCTGCAGTTCCTCCTGTCACCACTCCAAAACAGAAGCAGCATCAACAAATGGGAGAATCCCTTCACTAATGAGATAGCACCTGCGGTGCGCCTGTCAGAGCGCACCCTCTGATGCCATTTCCTTTAGCTGAAAGAATGGGTATTTCGATCAAACTGAGATTTTATAGGACAGTCGTGAACCTTTTAGGACATTTCGCTCAACTCCATCCAGAATCTTCTCTGCTCACAGCTAACCTTTGGGTATTTCGATCAAACCACCACAAAAACATACATCAAAATTAAAACTATTTCTGGGAAACCCATCTCTTGCTCCCCAGGCGGTTTTTAACACCAGGCATGCGCAGCCGCGGATTTCCTCCGCCCCCGTCGCCTTGCAGAGTGCTCTTGAGCTCATACTGTCCGGGGCCTGCCACGCGTGTTGTGTCATCAGCAATTGCAAGCGCTGTTCCCCGACGCAGCGATGCAGCTGTCCCATTGCACATTGGACTGGTAGCTGGGTAGCATATCCAACAAATCCTCCTGTTGATAAAACATCCTGAAGTTGAAGGTTGTCTTTGGCAACAAGAGCTCTTGAAGGGATCTTACTGCACTTACCACCTAAGAAAAGAGGGATTCTCAAGAACACCCACACAGAGCAGCAGCGAAGAACTCATCCTCACCCTCTTCACCGACATTGGGGGTGTGGCCATGTGTGGTTCACCATACTTTTACAGTGGGTTGAGAGTAGATGGCACAATCCCCAAAAGGTGGTTTATATGGACTTATCATCTTTTACCCATGGGCCCATCATGGTCCCCGTTGGACGCGTGCCGCGTACAGCGTTCCACGCGTGCGCCCCCGTCGGAGTGTCTAAGGAAGCGACGAGAGCGGAGTCGACGAAAGTCCCAATTGGGCCAAACGGATGTCCTCGAAACCCTGTCCCAACCAGAAAAAACGTATGTTTCCCCAGTCCAAGCTATGTCCATCCATTTCCTATTGTAAAGGATCTGAAGCTGGCGCCATATTGGAACAACCAGGACTGTTTCTGGTTCCCAAATCTTCTTTCTGACCTTGGCTGAGTCTGACTCAGTCCATTTGGTCACAGAAAAACAGTGAGGAACCCAAATGCAGGATCTCTGCTGTGACTTCAGCAGTAGTGCTCTTCAGGATGACACCGGAGCCCTTCGCCTTTTTCTTTACGCCTCCTTTTGAGCGCCCTGTTGGATTGAAAGCCACCCCAGTCCTCAAACATGGAACACCTCTGTAAAACACACATCCTCCGCCGCGGTGTAGGTTTTGCGGGTTTGCCGCGGTTTTGATCGGCCTGGCGTGGTCGACCGCTTGTTCGGCTTTAACCTGTTGTCATTGGTGAAGCCCCACCTGGGCGAACCCCGGCAGGGCTAACGCAGGGCTAACGCTGGGCTGCCGCCCAGTTAGGCAAGCTGAGGAGTGCATTTGGTTGGGCCGAGTCATTGGTTTGGCACCCATGATCTTAAGGTTGACAGCCAGAAGCTCGGGGGCACTCGCACAGCCGACGTGTTGGGCAAAGCTCTCGCAAGTCACCCAGCTGCATGACGGTAATTGTAAACTTGTTTGCAAACCTCGCAACGATGGGCAACGTATACAGCTGGCGACAACACACACACACATCACCCAGAAAGAACGACTCTGGCACACAAATTGAAGATGACTCCCAAACTCAACACACAACACCTCCTGGATCCTGTTTGGGTGTCCCCTCGATCCCCAAGTAGTGGGCTGGGTAGTCTGTCCAGCCAGGACTTGAGCCACCGAAATCCAGGTTCACCAAGCCCCGCTCTCCATTCACCGAATTCGATGCTCCCCGGTCTCCTCTGGTGATCCTCTCCTTTTCTCCATCTTTCTCCCCTGCCTTCCGCCGGTCCGCGCGACCCCATTCCCATCAGGGTCGGCCCAGGCACTTCGGGCTGACGAAGTCGGGATTGCTGGGAGTGTAAGCACCTGGGCCCGGCCTTGGCGACATGTCACGGTCGGGCCGCCGAGTCGCAGGCAACGTCGAGACCGGTAGAGACCGGTAGAGACCGGTGGATGGATGAAGAGGCACATGGCTGAAAGCACGGCATGGAAGCATGGAGCATAGACAAAACACGTTCCATTAAATGCAGACTCTTGATTTATAAACCCATAGAAACCCATCCCACTTGAATTGAAACACCTCTTCATAATGCCGGGGGGGCTTTGTTTATCCTTTAGTCTACATGACTCCTCCTCAGACCCTGGGCACCGAGCCTTTGGTCCCGGTCCCACCGAACGGAACTCTCCTCTCTTCCGGTCGCTGGGCTCCCCACATCGGGGCCCAATCCTTTCCTGGTCCGGGTCCGGCGATGGACCAAGGGGTGATGTGATGACGTGACGTAGTACATGACGCATGAGGCTCATTGGAACGTCCCAGTCATGGTGATGTGACGTAGTACATGACACAAGAAATGACCAGAAGTGGCCAATATATTAGTATCCTTTTGCATATTGGCCACTTCTGCAACACTTCCATGACACTTTTTGCATGGGCCAGTATAGGGGGTCCCTTCTTTTTCGCAGCACCTTTTAGTGGCTGTCAACTAAGAGACTCTGTGGTCTCCTATGGTCTGAAGTTTCAATTGTGGAATCGGTCAACAAATCGGTCAGGCCCTCCGTGGAGAACAGCTCGCTGGATTCATTGTATGTCTACAATGGTGCTCCCCCAAAGCAAATGTTGTACACTTTACAGCCTAAGAGCGATGGCCTCCAACCTCATAGGGATGGCCTGTCTTCTGTTAGTGTGCAAATCTTACAACACTTCACAACAAACCCTCTTTGTCAAAATCACTGGCCAGGCTGGCTGGCTATCGCACATGAGATGGGACCATTTTCCCGCAGATGGCTACCGCCGGTTGAGCCCTCAGGAACCGTACAGAAACCTCTCAGTATATCACAAGGTCTACACTCCCTGGAATAATCATGGAAGTGCTCAACCAATCGCCAACCTGCAACGACGGCGACTGCCACTAGTGGAAACCCAGCGAACCCCAAGTCGACTCGAGCCGGACTCGGTCACCGCGAAGGTCCTCCTCTGGTGGAGGCTCCAATGCTCCAAGAGGGTGTCTTTTTCCACTTGTCCTGGCCAAAAAAAACACCACGGAACATGAACAGAGAGGTCAACCGAACTGAGAGGTCAACCTACCATACGGGTTGGGGAATACGGGTGCCATGACTCACAGCCATATATCAAAGCTTTGACATGGCCCTTGTACCCTCCCTCCTAAGGGTCCTGGAAGTGGTTACATGACACGGCCCCTGGGAAGACGATAGTTTTTTTTCTACAAACAGGTGGGTTGTCCACTTCCAGGGGCAGTTGGAGGGAGGAGGCTTCTGACTTGGACTTGGCTTTTGCTTCCACTTCGACTACTGGCTGGAGCAGGCTCGTACGATGCGTGTCTCGTACGATACCTTTGGTGGAGTCATACTCTGGATAACCGGGATGCCACTAAGACGTGGGCACCGTGTTCCGTGAGGCCTACCCGTCGCACTAAGACGTCGCACAGGATCGTACAGGGATGAGATGCATAAGTCCCAAGGCGTGGGCCCTAAGTGCGAAGCTGATTGCTGGAAACTGCAGTCTTGCTCTGTAGCTTCTTGCTCCAAACCAAGGCGCGATGCCCCTTACTGCTTCTAGTAGCTTCTTGTTACTAATGTCAGGAGTGCCCTAGTAGCTTCCAGCTTTATGGGATCTTCCAGCTGGACTTTTCACAAGAGGACCACATCTTCGTCCGATGGTCGTCCGTCTCACGGCTAGGCCGCTCGGACCATCCAGCAGCCGGCCTGAGGCCTACAATGTAAGACTTCTACGAAACTAGGTCTTTATAGCTGTAATCGAATGATGATGAATTATGCATTATGAAGCAGTTCAGTTCACTGTCATTGCCCATCCGGGGCTATGACTGACATGAAGAACTTCTACAAAACCAGAGGCGGGTTGATCCACAGGACCCCCCTCAGGACCCTCATCGTCCTTCTCCGCCTTCACCTGTGGATACTCCCTGGCGCCAAAGCCGCTGGGGGGGCCACTGGGGACCACCCTGACATAAGTGGACCATTCTGAGATCTGCCCGTGATCTCTCCTAGTCTACGCCCAATGTGTCCTGCTCCGGCTTCACCATGGTTCACCATGTTTCCCCTGTTTTCCTTTCTTTGGTTGGTATAGTGGGTGGTGGGTTTTTGTGTGGGGGAGTCGTTCTGGCATCTTGGACGGCATTGGAGTCGCCACTCGACCCTCCGAACAGCACTGGGTACAGCATGTTGACGATGGTCAATAAGCCAAGACCAAGTGGGATGAGGTACCACCTCAGGCTTTGAGCTCTAAGAGCCTCTGCTAGACATAGGCCACACCACAGGCCGCCCTTTGGTTGATGTGATGGAACCTATAAAGGGGCATGACATCGACATGGCAGGACTAATGAAAAGGTCAAGCTCCGATTCAGTGGTCTTCACATGTTCTCATGCACCCAAAGATCTAATCCAAGGGAACTCCCCCATGCTCTCCTCAACACGAATTCACTCGTATCTCGATCGCGAAAAACCCTTTGGCGGACACCCTCTACCCTTTCGCTAGCGCCCAGCAGCGCCAGCACCGCCCAGCTACCCCGACGGAGGCCAAGCGTCCCGGCCCGGGCCCTGGCTGCTTCGATGGCTTATCCTTCCCTGAGCGGGGGAGTTGACCGGTCTAGGCACGCTCCGTTGCGAAGCTTCTCGGACGGTCGATATGGAGACATGTCTGTATATTAAAAAAAGCCAGATCCACGGGTATTTCACGACCCCAACAAGTATTTCACGATAGGTTCACAGGTATGTCCTAAGAAGATTCCAGGACTTCTTCATCTTCTTCCAGCTGTATTTTCTTCGGTCGACTCGCTCTCAGCAGCCGCGGGGTTCCACGACTCGCTCCCTCGGTCGTCCAGCGTGGGACCGAACGACCCAGCGACCGAGCGACCGAGCGACCCGAGTGACACCGGGACCGATCGCTCGATCAATTAGGGAGAGAATCCAAGTGGAGTCCCGCACTACTCAGAGAGAACCATCTTGGCAGCTCTGCTCTCTTGACACCTGAACTTGCCTTGTTTCCTTAACTGAAACTGACAGGAGTTTCCTCAGGAATGCACTTAACCTCGTTGTCCCGCCTGTGGCTCTTTCACTGTGCTGAGCCATTGCTTATAGACAGCATAAAATTAAAACCATCCGCTTCCACTTCGCCCGGACAAGCAAATGGCCTAAAACTTTTGTCTGGAAGCTGAACGAATGTGTATTCAAGAGAGAGGCTGTCTTGGACATCACTGTACACACCACCTGTTACGAAAGAGAAGAATGCTTTCATTAACAAGAACACATGAGACTCATGAAAGCACATTGGCCAAGTGAATCACGAGCCCCTCCGCTGCCCACTGAGGTTGTTGCCCAACACGGGGCTGTGGGTGAAGGAGTACTTCGGAGGGCTCTGGCCGACGGTGGGAGCGCGGTCGCACGAGCGCGGTGGGACCGCTGTTCATCGATTTTGTGTGCGGAAGATGCTCAAAGTGGTGGAGGCCCTTCAACCCCCCCAAAACCATGAGACAGGTCTGACGAACTGAGAACTTTGATCATATCTAGATCGTTGTCTCTTAGCTCCTGAGTTTCTGGGGGGGTGCATGACCTCATGACCTTGTGACTTTCGGGGTCATCTCAGAAGCCACATGGCTGGAAAGCGTCACGTGGCGGAGATGCATTGAAGTGAAAGGATACCTGAAAAGGGTACCGTGATGGTGATTGAAGCCACCTTGAAAAACAAGAAGTGATAACTTAAACTATCCTCAGGAAAGAATCCATTTGCTCATCCAATTTGCTCATTCGTTCTTCATGGGGGCGTCATGGCCCACCGCGCGGTCTAAGACGGAACCTCTGCTGCTTCATCCCCGCGACCGTCTTTCGGGAACAGGTTGAGAGACCTGAACTCGGACTCTCTAGTGATGACATATGGGATGGGCGATGGCATGAGGCCCTTCAACCTCTCTAAGACTCTTAGGCGCTCTTAAGGAACAGCACCGCGCCACCTCTCCGCTTGGGACGCCGGTTGGAACCCGGTCGATCGCCGGAGGGGTTTTTGGGTCGACCGAGGCGTTCGACCGTTTTGGGCTTCCGCTGTGTCACAGAGACCTTCGAACGTCGATCACCGCGGGTCTCTGCGATACAAGTACCAAGTATATACAAAGCTTAAGCAAGAATTCGTTGATTGGCACTCTGGTCGGTGCCAATCCATCTTTCTTTCGAGTGATTCAGAGTGCATCGATGGATTCCATGCTGATCCATCCCAACCCGTTTGGCGCATCCCGACCAGCAATGCCAAGGCGCTTTAAAGGGGGAGGTGGCATTCAAGTTCAACTGGCGGCACGAAAACGAAAGAACACAGAAACGAAGGGAATCACCCAACATCGTGTGTTTTGGAGTCGCCCCAAGTTGCCAAGTTGCGGTGCTGTTGCCAAAACAGCTGTGATGGGTGTCCCCAAATGCCGAGCCAACACATACACTTGCCTTGGAACCAAGTCCCAACCAGAAACAAATGGTTGTTCATGGTTGTTCCAACATGGCTTGAGATCCTTTACGAAATGGCTGGGACTGGGGAAACATCCATTTCTTTCTGGTTGGGACTGGAAAAATCCAGGTGGTTGCTGCTTTCCGAAGTGATTTCTCCCTCTCAGAGGCCGTGGCTTTTTGCCTGTTCTGGGTGAGCAAAACGATCTACGCAATCACCCCTGTCTCGAACCAGCTCTGATTCAGGCGAAATAGCAGAAAAAAACCGATCACAGAGCCAACGATTCTTGTTTTGGGGAGTCATCTTCCATCGTGGCATTTCTTTGGTGGAGGAGAGAGTGTGTGTAAAAGACACCCCTAACAGAGCGCTCAAAGGGGTTCGAATCTGGTCTCAGTTGTGCAAGTACTGGCACAACTCCTTTCCGTCATTATAGTGGATTCAGAGTAGATGGCACAACCCCCAAGAGGTGGTTTATATAGGGGTCCATCTAAACCACCTTTTGGGGATTGTGCCATCTACTCTGAAACCACTGTAATTATCTTCTTCAAGGTGTCTCATCTAAAAGCCATTGTTTTTAACCGAAGCGAATCGAAGTGAATCGAAGTGCCCCTTTCTCCAGCCAATCACGTGTTCTCTTTCTCTGCTCAAATATATGTGCAACACAATATTATACATAATACAAAATTTGTCATATATTTGTCATATTTGCTAGACAAACTTAGGGAAAACTAACCTAGTTAGAACATTTTAGGATGCACACACAAAGTCGAACGTTTCTCCTCACGCTTTGCCTGGTCCGCCATTGGGTATCACCTCAGTCCCGGCTGGAGAACATCTTCACCATCCGAGGCGGTTTCTCGTGGCTTGGATTGGCAGGTCAGTGACCATAAGCTGTGAATGAACGTCCTCATCCCACTCGCCGGGCACCTTCTCGACACAATTCGACACGCCAAGTTGAGGGTGTTATGTTTTCTTTTTTGGAATCCAACATTTGACAATGACAAATCCTCATCATTCGAACTTGAAACATGTACAAAGGGGAACTGGTGCCACTACCCACAGTTAGATTAGTTAGCTGGAACTTTGTAGAATCTTGAGACCATTCAAGATTTCCTATAGAAATACAATCTGGGTAGAATGGTATAGAAAGAATCAGAAGACCCCCGGAAAGTCGCGGATTGGTGTTGACCGCGCAGACCCGGAACTGCTGTCCAGGAACAAGTAAAAACTCTTCCCCACGCATGCCAGGGATTCATATTACATGGATTTACCCCAAAAACGTGGGAAATTCGAACGTCACCTGATCCACAAAAACAGGGTTTGAGTTGTGGCCTCCTTAAAAGTATCCCCCAAAGAGGAATGCCGCTCTCTTTTTGTGATGAGCAAAAATTCACACCAAAACAAGCGGTGTTTGGTGTGGTCCTCCAAAACGGAATGATTCGGGGTCCTTCGTCAGACTCCAGATCCTTTGGTTGCCTTATTGAGGCCCTCTTCCTCTGACGGTCGCAGAACCAGTGGCTGCACACGAGGGCCACAGCGGCCGCGGCTCCCACTAATTTGATGAAACACTGCGGTAGATTGAAAGAGCGTCCTCAGCACCATAAAGCAGGACAAGGCTCGCAAGGGTCCAGATTTGCTCGCAAGGGTATGCAATGTATTCCTTTTAATGTGTCAATTCATCTGGATGTCACTTTAGCACTCAACCAGGATGTCCTAACACGGTCCATGTCTTTCTATCCAACATGTGTAAAGATGTACAAGACATTGGTGAAGGAAGGGCTCTCAGAGCGCTCGACGTCAGCGCTTGACGTACTTCACATAAAGAACGGGATCCCTCCTATCTCCTGAGTGCAAGCACTCCGCTCCTTTTCCACAAAACAAGGTCGAGCATCTGAGCATCTTGAATAACGAGGCCGTGGATCAACACTTGCGGCATCATTTCCAGCACCCAAGTGAAAACGAACACACAAAATGATATACAGCCTCAAAATCTGATGAAGAGGCTTTTGTCAAAAGAACCATCCACAAGTCATGATCCATGAAATTCACCCTGCTGCGTCGCCGAAGCCTTTCGTGCCCAACACAACTGTCATGGATCTCATGTTGCTCAGGTTCATGGAGAACGGAGTCTTGGAAATCGTTTTTTTGCAAGGTGCACCGTGCACCGTCTTGCTATTATCGTATTCTTAGTCCTTTCCTCTTTTTGTCCTCCCTTTTGTCTTTTCTTTTTCGTTAGAACTTCAGGCCTCTTCCTTCTTCTTCTCCTTCTCTGGTTTGGCGTTGAATCCATGAACACACCCAGCATTTGGACTCTTTAAGTGCTGAAGATCTCTTGAAAAAGCGCCTCACACAGAGTGAGAAAAGGAGTCGCTTGAAAAAGAAAAGCACGGCTGCTGCCCTTGAAGTTTTTGACACTTCTGTCAGTTGCAGGTTTCTTAAATTCTTATGCTTCTTGTGAATATCATGATTCGATGGCGAACTCGCCTACCATCTCTGCTTGAGCATGTGAACAGTTGTTGCGTGTTCACACGTGGTCAAAGCAGCTTTGTCAGCCAACTGCAAACAGAAGCCAAACCCCAAGAAACTCAGTCATTCTGTTTGGGGTTCACAGCTCTTTTGGTTCCGTTTTGCTGTGACCCAGAAATGCACCGATCTCCATTGCCACAGCTTCACAGCGTCACAGCAACTCTCGGTGCTTGGTTCGCAGCGCGTTCGCAGCGGCCCGCTCTCGACTCACGCCCCACGCAGCACTGAGTGCTGGATGGCACGGCCCACCTGGTCGAGTCGTGAGTGGTGATGGAAGAGACGGCCGTTGACGACGGCCGTTGAAGGAAACCTACTTGCAATGGCCTCCAACCTAAGAGCAATGGCCTCTAACCTAAGAGCAATGGCCTCCAACTAAGAGTGATGGCCTCCACCCTAGTAGCGATGGCCTCCAACCTACTAGCTTCTTGCTACTAGTTGACTTGTTCACTCCTCACGAATCAGTGACACATCAGTGACACGGAGTGACGGGAGCTGCATCAGCTTCCGTGTCGAAAGAATCCATGGCATATGCTTGCGGGACATGTATATGGGGGGGAAGGGAATTGTAGGGATGAACAGTGCACTTGTGGAGATGGTCCACTGAGTAACGCCTATACTACCGAGTCTATCCTCCTGGTAGGCCAGGGTCTCCAAACAAAGCAAACAAATACTTTGATGATCTTTGATGATGTTCCAGCCTATGTGTTCATTGTCTGAAAACACCATTTCACTTCAGCGGTGATTCTCCCACTAAGGTCGAGCAAAGCTCGATGGACAAACCTGACAGCTCGGGGGTCAATCTACTGCAAGGCCAGGGTCCAATTTGTGGATCTCCATCATGGAAACATACACATTCAAGCATAAGACATCATGAAACAAACCCACTGGGCAAGGGAATCCAGCACACCCCATTCGTCCATTTTTCGCATGTCCACACAAGGACATATCCCCCAAGCTCCAGTCGTCCGGCAACCTCCGAGTCCGACAAGTCCCCTGAGGTTGGAGAGTTTCAAGGTTCAGTTTTTTTTTCCACCGGTTGGTCTTTAGTGGGGAAAACTTGAAACTCATCCATCCCCCCCTAAAAAGTAATTTTTCAGCTGCGTTGGGCGTTTTCACGACCTGGCCACTAGTCAGTTGATGCCGGTGCTCCACCCAACACTCCTGGTGACCCGAGCCGCGTGCGGCCGCCGCCGCCTTCTTCTCGGCCACCTGCATGGCCCGATCGAAGGCCTTGGCGAAGGGCCGATGCGCGGGTCGCGCGGTTCGCTCCAGCGGTTGGAGTTGGGGAAACGAACATCCACCGCGATCAGCAACGCCCGGCGCTTCTGCTCTTCACTCTAGGCGCCCCGGCCCAATAGGCTTCGTTGGCCGCACGCCGTGCCGCCAGCACCGTGGGTGGAATGCGAAACCTGGGACGCAGGCTGTGTCGAAATAACGACGAGTGCTACTTCTACTACGACTGCTGTCCACATTTTGGTGCCAAAGACCAAGGATGCAGTGTGAGGAAGGGGACAGGGTTGGGGTAAATGAGAGAAACAGAGTAAGGAAACAAAGGAAGCACTTTCCATTGAACTTTCCGGTCTCCTTTTTTAAAGCAGGGCGAATAGAAGACGGGACCAAAGCAAAGCCAATGACTGGTCAAAACAGCTTGGCTATATATACTTTGGTTTTCGCCAGTGCCACATATAAAAGGCAGCTTCGCACTTAACCAGTGGCACAGACTGCCACCAAAACGCCAAGACATTCGCCAGAAAAAGGTGCCATGCATCGGGACGACATGCATCGGACCGACACATCAAACACGACGTAAGCGAGCGTGCGTACGCCACAACGAGCTTCCTACGTACGTGGCTGCAACCTGCGGCACATGCTGTAGCATTGCGACGAGCGACCTCCGTCCCAACTTCAACTTCCGCGTTGCGCGGAAATAGGGGCTCGACGAAGCTGAACTTTTGAGTGAACCCCCTTGTCTTTGGACATATATGAATTCAACATGTTCAATGGTGGGGCGTGGTTCGTTAGATTCAATCATCATCATGAACGAGACCCACATGCTTGCCTCTAAGGGAACGGAGACAGTATATATATATATGACTAATATATATATATATATATGACTGCATGACTTCAGTACGGGTAGCCTAACACCATTGGTTGATCGTCCATGAGACGGTGCTTTGGGAATGGACACGTGTAGATGACACCTCTCAAACCAGGAGGTGGAGCTTGGAGATGAAATGCTGAGGCGAACTGGCACGTCTCAGGCTCCACTTCAGCCTCATTGGGTTGGGTTCAAGAAATCGAAGCAACAAAGGAGGATTGGCAAGAAGGAAAGCAGCTTCATCTTGGGACCAAGATGGAGCCAAACAAAGGCACAAAATGGCCATAGGCAAGAAGCCAGCCGCAAGCATGTGGTCATCCTCAAGATTCCTCACCTATAGAAAAGCACGTATAGAAAAATAGTCCTGCAATTCAATGAAACAATGCACAAAAGAATCACGAAGATGACCTGTTCCGTGTCGGATCTGCTTGAGCTGGGACCTTCACCTTCGAAACATGTAATCTTGAAGTCCGTCTGCCTGAGCTGGAGCCCCGGCAAAGCACCCCGCAAATACGAACTCTCGTCTAACCCCTCAGGGCCTCAAAGCCTTGCCCAAGGCTGCCAGGGACCCCCTCAAAGAACCCCGGTCTTCCCACCCCGGCTGTCCCTACACCTCCGGTCGAACCTCCTCAGAAGGTATGCACCCACTCCAGTCCCACCTTGTCAAAAAACTCCATTCTTCCCACCCAGGCTGTCTACACCGGTCGTCTGGAGGCCTAGGCCTGGTCTGCACCGATTCCTCGGAACCGATGGATTCCCCGGGACTCCGCACTCGCCACACTCTCGGAAGAAGTCCTTAGGACGACGGTCGGAGCGGAGCGGAGCGGAGCGGCGAGCTGCGAGCTGCGGTTGGAAAGGACGGCAAGCCGTCCAAAGGAAGGGAATGTGATGTGACACGTCCTGGTTGGACGAGTTTGAGGGAATGTGTCATGTTCAAAATGAGCATTCATGTATCATTCGAATGTGATGTTAATGATCGTGTTGTATATATTTAATATATTTTATTCAAGATTCTGTGCACATCTTCGATGTTTCGTCCAGGGGACAAACACCAAGAGTCCTTTTGGAACACCCAGGACGGCCGTCCCATGCTGATCCATGCTGAACCCCGGACGCACTGAGCATATTGAGCACATTGGGTTCCCCAGCTGCTCCATGCACAGAGATCCGATCATT